TCTCTCTCTCTCTCTCTCTCTCTCTCTCTCTCTCTCTCTCTCTCTCTTTATAAAAACATAATCTTTAGAGGATACATTGAAGCATGTCAGTTAATAAAAAAAAAAAAGAAATCCTGATTTACTGTCTGCAGAAGGCAGATGTTTTCTCGCAGGGAGCCCACGCAGCCACAGAAGGTGATGATGAACATGAGGATCCCCACGACCATCAGCATTATAGCGGGGTCCACTGCCAGACTTGCAAGAGCTGCCTCTGAAAAGAGGAAGAGAAGAGGGGTGTAAAGACTGATGTGAGAGAGCAACTCTCTTTTACTTCTAAACAGAATTATTCCTCTCTAACAGGGAACATTTATGGAGGTGTGCTTTCAAGCATCTTTCTCTAGCTCTGCCAGCATCCATAATGCTAGAAATACATTTCATTTGCTGCATTTAATTCTCTGAACAACACAGATGTCGATGCTGTTTACTGTGTTGTTTAGTGAAAGCAGCGGAAGCACAAAGACAAAAGGCAAAAGCAGTGTCCTGAAACGCAATCCTCCCACCGTCTCACTATAAACATGAGGAAAGACTGAATGCTCCATCACTGAAGGATCATTTACCTGCATGTTTCATCATGCGGGCGTACACGCCGATGGCCACCATCACCAGGGAGATTACCTAAGAACAGAAAGAAAAATCTTTACACTTCTTTGCATCTTAAAAAAAATTATAATATTATTATAATAAGGAGAAACTACACGGCACCATAGCTATGTCTATACTTGTCCGAGGAGTGGCACCACTCACCAGGTAGCCTATATATGAGTCATAAAGACATGGCTGTACTGGTAGAATAAAAGCTAATTTTCCAAAAAAATACACTCTACACTGTATGCTTTTTTTAGTAGCATCAGTGCTCCAAGTGGTATCAGTGTTTAACTAGAGGGCCGAGACATTTTCCTTAGAAATGTAGATTCTGCCATCCACTCCGCTACCATTTGACTAAATCGACCTGGCAGCAATCTGTACCTTTTCCTAAAATACAAAGAGCCTTTCACTCAGCGCTCCTCTCTCAGTCCCAATAGAATAATAGGGAGCCCTCACAAACACTCTTCCCTCCCTGTATGAAATGGATCCAGTTACCACACTGAACCTTCTTGGGGCGGGGAGGGCAACGCTAGATGCATCTGCTCCAGATACATCCAGGCTTAGTGTATTTTGTTGTTGTATTAGCTGAATACATGTTCATAAAGTGTTTTTTTTAAATGTTATGCTCAAACTAAGTGGCCACTAAATGGCTATTTTTTGTTACAAAACGGATTCACTCACCTGGTTAATTCTACCAACTCACCAAACAGATAATTACATGGTTTATAACAAACGCTGAACACTCCATGACATTTTCAGACAAGAAAAGAACCGGGCATTTGCAGTTATCTTTGGTGTGTCATCTACAGAGCCTGAGGCAACAGAAATAATAACAACACATTCCACGTTCCAAGAGCTTCAAGTTTTTACAAAGCCTCATCCTGTCTGCGCACGGCCAGAAGTCACGAACACAGCTGACACAGTCATACAGGTGTGTTTGAGAGACACTGTTGAAAATGTAGAAGGAAATGGATAAAGAGAAGCTCTGCAGTACTTTATGAGGTTTCAGCACGTAGAGAAGCACTCCTGAAAACTTCTTGTTTGTTCATGTTCTCAATAGATATTATGTTTGAACTGTTTTAGTTCTCACTATTTGTAATTTGCTACAGCATTTTTGCTCAACCAGCAACAAAAAAGTCTAAACTCAACAACAAGATTAATCTGCAACAGAAATCTCCTTATGTTACAGTCCCTGAGCTCCTGACACTGCTGTGAACTTTGGTTTGTTAACAATCCACTGCCGAGCTTTATTTAGAATTTCAACTGAATTCTTGACTTTTTAAAGGATTAAGTCGTACAATTATTAACATCCCATGTGGGAGACACAACCCCATAGTCAGATGGTCTACAGTTTATGATACAGTCACCCTGCTGTGTTCTGCAAAGCTTCTTTGAAACGGATCAAATGCAACATCTCACTTAGTGTGAAATCTGCTACACCAGTATTTTTCCACCAGTCAACCAGAAGTGGGGACCCACTTGTGCACGGCCTATCAGCATATGAATCAATGAAGGCTTCTGTTCCTTGGCAACTGAGTAAGTCTTGAAAGGACCGAGCCTCAAATGAAATCACAGCAGTTTTGATGACTGAGGAAAGGTGTTTTAAACATTGTTGTTGAGATAACAACATGTTCACCTCAAGCAGGTTCTGAGCTCAAAATCCCCTAAAATTCTAAGAAGCCACAATACACTTCTGATTTAAAAAACAAGAATACAACTTGTGTGTGTGTGTGTGTGTGTGTGTGTGTGTCAGCTCTATATATTAACTTCCCTTCTCCTCTTTCCCTGACACTGTTTCACTTTTCGTAAAACGCAGAAGTAAATGAACAACTACCTCAAATAAAGCAGTGGATGCTGCAACTGTCAGCAGAGTTTAAGAGAGTTTAACTTCAGCTACCAAATCTGATTAGCCGAGAAACATGATGATTAACCTGCGCACAGAGAAGAGTAAATAAAGGGGACCACGGTCTTTGTTACACGCTGGGTTTGACAAAAAAATAGGAAACACTCACCCAAAATATAAAATTAAACAAGAACACCAGGTACTTGACAACTGGGCTGACGAAGGAGTAGTCGTCGCCAGAACCAGGTGCGCCTCTGCGTCCTCCCATGGTGACAATTATCCAAGCGTGTTATCCAAGTTGGCGCACAAATGAGCTTTTAAATGTCTACAAAACGAGTTACCGCAAGCAAAAGCAAAGACCGACAGGTTAGTAATGACGAGCAGCTGCTGATTTCCGCCTGATACCTGAGCCGACACGTACAGTTACAGTGAGTAGTCACCAGCTGCCGCCCGCGCTGACTGAGATTGTAAAAAATGGGTGTTACCGTCGTGTCTCACGCCTTTACCCGTGATCAGATGATCCAACCTGCTCCTGGATATAGAAACAGGTCCCCTGATTGACCTGAAGGGAACAGTTTGCTAGTTCATGCGTATAATAAAGTGTGTGTAATAAAGTGTATTTTTACAAATAAATGCGTGTTATGACAGAATGCACGTGTTTTATTTCATTGGTACTTTTGTTTTTTATTTACTATGTTCTTTTGTCATGAAAGCGTAATGCTTAAAGTTGCATTTACTTCAAACTGAATGGATGCACATGAGTATATCGTTTTAGTAAAGATAGCTGTGGAAGTAATGAAAAGTGTATTATCAGTGATTTGTAGTTACATTGCAGTGTTTAAAATCGATTAGTTACATAATGCCTACTCAAATCTTTGTAATTTATTTGTCAGACATGTATAGTTTTGCTTGAATATATTGATTTGTAAACATCAGGCTAGCAGGTGTTAACATTAACGGTGGTTGGTTGCAGTAAGACAGTAAACCAGCATACCAACTCCCTGAAACTGAAGTACAGCTGAATTCAGACCTTTGCTTTTCCTACTGTGACATGTGAAAATGTCCTCCGGGGAAAAAAAAGGTTATTTTACATTGTTCAAATGAATAAACTAAAGCAGGGGTCTTCAACGTTTTTCAGGCCAAGGACCCCCAAACTGATAGAGAGATGGAGCAGGGACCCCCGACTATATATATTGTATAAAATTGTGTTTTATATTAAATGGGCCTAGTACCGTCTATACCTCTTTATTGTGCATTTAATACTAAGCTATTCAAATAATACACAGGTTCATATATTCATGTTTTTATTTTAAACCATTTTATAGCCATTTATAAACATACCTTGTCAGCTGATACCAATGCCAACATCAACATTGTCAGTCAATTGCATGATAATCATGCAAACAAGCTATTCAAATTGATGTTTTCATTTTAAACGTGGAAACGAAAAATGAGTGATGGCCTATTAGTGCCACTTTCATACAATACTGAACTATTAAAATAATGGACAGATTAATGTTTAGAGAAACATTAATTCATTTTTTTTCTAATCAACCAAAAAATTTCGCGGACCCCCTGTTGAAGACCTCTGAACTAAAGGGTAAAAGAGTCACGACACCACAACGAGTGACAAATGTCCTACTGGCAGAAGGTGCTTTCTCCTAGTATGCACACGCAACCACCTGTGTGTTGTGGATGTAGCATATGTATGTGATACATAGATGATTTGCCTCCTCTATTTCTTTCTATATTTTCGCATATGTCTGCGTTACATCGACGTCTTCGCTTTATATAATATAATTAAACGCCACAGCTTGCTTTTATTTTGAAGGAAAGCGCACTAGGCAAGACAGTTCATAACATCCGGTTAACCCGGAAGTTATAAGTATGCCTCCACGGTGTGCCGGATGAATGCAAGCGATGATATTTTGTTCGTTGTTTAGATGTTTTTAAACGAAGAGATGGCGTGGAAAAGCAAAGGTTTGGGTAATTATTCATCTAGTTATCTGCTAGTATGGGCAGACAGACATTTTACAAAAAAAAATACAGTTTACAATCTTAAACTAACGTTGCTAATCCTCTGAAGAGTTGCGTCGCTTTGTAAATAGTTATTCGAGCCTCTTTTACTTTATTCATTAATTCGCTTATCTCAAATGTCCTCTGCAGGTTCCCCTCTTCCTCCGGCCTCCATCCGTCTGCTCGTCCCGCCAGTGCGACTCATGTCTGCCTTCATATGGCAAGTAGTCCAGCAGCACAGCGTGATGCAGTACGACAAGCTGGTGGACTTCATCAGTTTGGCTACAGAGATCGTCCCAGAGCTCCTGAGTCCCAGTCAGAGAGCTCAGCTCATCCTGGGCCTGAGAACGAGGGTGAGGACTCTCTTTGTCAAGATGAATAAATCAGAATGTCAGTGATGCCAAGATGGTGTTGTCTTTAGCCTTCCCTGTCACTGTGTCCCTCAGTGGCTCTAAGGGACACATTGGACATTTTAGTGGAGGAAAATCATGACAAGTGGATAATTATTCCCCTTTCTACTCATGTATTGATGACTTTGTTTTGTAATGGTCTTAGTTCTAATGTTAGTATGCATCTTGTGATTATTACATGTGTGTTTCATCAATCTTTTCTCCTGCTGTGTCGTGCTCTTTGGAGCTACCGTCCTCTACTTTTGCCTCGTTGCAGCTGGTTCTGGAGCTGTGTCGTGGTGACGGCGTCGCCAACTTGCAGACCATCCAGAGCCACCTGGATAAAATCCACGCCTGCAGCGCTGAACTGAGCGCCACTGATCAGATGGTGGGTTTTTAAAGGAAATTGTATTTCTTTATTATCTGTAATACCATTACTGGTGTAACATTCTCATTGTCCATGTCTTGACAGGCCAGTGGTGATATACTGAAGACCTCTTACATCAACTTTGCCGGCCTGGTTCAGAACCTCTTGAATGTTCCTTTTGAAAAGGAGTTCTTCTTCCAAGTGAGTCTATCTGTGAGACATACATATGTCTTAAAGATTCAATGTTGAATCAGCTTTTTAAGGACGTGATGTGTTGGCTGTTTCTGTAGGAGGTTTTCCCCACAAACTACGGCTCGAACTATGACCAACGACTGCAGCAGCTGGTGTCTGAGTTCCTGTCCAGACTGGAGCAGCTGCTGCCCACACCAGACCTGCAACAGGTGCTCTTGTTTTTCACTGTTAAATGTGTGTGCACTACATGCAACTGTTATTTTCTTTTGTGCTTTGAAGTATGTAAGTATACAGTGTGAGTATTGCTTCACTTTCCAAACTGCATCTCTGTGTCTCAGACAGCAGCCTGGCTCACTGAAACGACATCTGTGTCAGAAGAATTTGGACAGAATCTGTCTGAACCGTTTGGCCTGAAGAGTCTGCTGCTTCATCACAGACAGTTGGGGAGTCTGAGCACCGGTAAGTTGAACAGAAACAAAACAAAAGGAAGAAAGTCTTGTATGTAATTTCCATCTGTTTAAAAGATCAAGGTCTGAAAAGACTGTTTTTTTTTTTTCTTGTTTGTTTTCTTCCTACTGGCTGTTCTTTGACAACAGTTATACATTCTTTCAGATTTATAACAGAAATGTAGTTCCTATCGCAACATGAGACTCTAATGTGTAAAATGTCGTGGTCTCCTTCAGCTCCTTCCAGCAGCGAGGAAGATATCCTTTTGTCCACTCTGGCCCTACCTGCTCAAACCGGAATGGAGAGGTTCACTGAGCCGTTCAGTGAAGACGATGATTATGACAATGAGGAAGAGACCCTGGCAGTGGACGATTTAGAAGGAGACTCCAGTCAAAGCGCCGACGTCACCGCAGATGATTGGTTGCCGAAAAGGGAATCAGGTTAGACCAAATCTGTTGCAGTAGCATACCAGAATAGATCCAAAATCTTATTGTATTAACTTCCTGTTTTTCATGCTTCCAGGTCCTCTGTCGCGTTTATTCATCTGCCCTCAGTGTTCATTCACTCACCGCATCAAGAGGAAGGTCCAAGAGCACATCCAGAGTGAGCACCACGCAAGAGCTCCCTGTGAGAAAAAACTACCCGTGACGAAAGCCAGAGCAACGACTCGGCAGAAAACTAAAGACCTGAACGGGGAAAAGAAGAAACTCGAAGGCAACGTAGAGCAAAAGAGGAAACGCAAACAAAAAGGCGGTGTTGAAAAAAAGCGGGAACGTAAGCAGAAGGACAACCTGGAAAACAAGGAACAACGTAGACGGAAAGAGCCCACGGGGGAAGACAAAAGGTTTCTGAGCACGCGACCCGTCGACAAAAACTTCTCAGAGGAAGAAACTAAATGCCTGAAGTGTGAAAAGGTTTTTGAACTTCCCAATCAGCTGAAGGCTCACATGAAGCTTCACAGCTTCACGTACTGCTGCACCCAATGTGAGAAGGGATTCACCAGCCCCTCCGGTTATTACCAGCACCAGCGGCTCCACAAGAGAGGACGGATATTTGTCTGCAGCCAGTGCGACAAGGGGTTCCTGTGCAGGTATTCGCTGAAGCAGCACGAGCGCCTGCACGAAGGCCCCACCAACCTGTGCACCATCTGCGGGAAAAGCTTCAGCAAAGCGGGAATTACGAGACACATGCAGATGCACAAAGGGGAGAAGAACTACTTGTGCACCATGTGCGGGAAGTCCTTTTTGTCCTCCGGGGAGCTGCTGCTGCACACTCGCTCCCACACGGGCGAGATGCCGTACACCTGCACGCACTGTGGGAAGGGCTTCTCCAGCAAGAGCCACCTGAACGTCCACACGCGCTCCCACACGGGGGAGCGTCCGTACCTGTGCTCGGAGTGTCCGAAGCGCTTCCTCACACTGAACTGCCTGAAGAGACACACGCTCAGCCACAACGGGGAGAAACCGTTTAAGTGTCCGAACTGTGAGAGAGAGTTCTCCCAGCAGGGGAATCTGAAGAGACACCTGGCAACTCATCAACCTGAAACGTAATGGTGGACACGGAGCAGGACGTAGTCATGATTCATACCCCTACCAAAATAAACGTTCATTTTCACACAACAATTCAGGTTCATAGTTTATTATAGAGTATTCAGTAGCAGTAAGTGGACAGTAAAGTATCTGCTTTGAGTTCTTCATGGCATAGAGTTACCAAACTAGTGCATTTTACCAACACTAGTGTCCTTGCTTAGTTTTAGGCTCCTACTTTGTCACCTTTTTCTTTAAATTCTGCACCCTACTTTGCATACGTCATATTCAACTGTGAGCAGAATAACAGTGTTGCAGACGGCTGGATTTATATACACTGATGGTGCAGAAGACAGTTATTTGAGTTGTGATAAATCTTTCATTCTTTAACTCCTGTGTGGATCAATTATTAACTAAATATGTAATGGCAGGTTGTAGTACCGTGATAGTTGAGGATGATGAAACAGACCTGAAATACAAATGTAAAAGGAAGTGGAAAAACACAGCTCTAGGAAATGCAATTTATTTGCAATTTTTTAATAACATCATTCCTCAGATAAAAATGCAATGTTACAGGAATATACATCAGATATTAATTTAAAACTTGCTTTCAAGGGACCATACAGTCTAAATATACTTTTTCCTTTTTTTATTTACTGGTAGCGTGCGTTATAAGCAAGACAGACTCTGTCACCAATGACAGACTGACAAGTTACAGATACAAACTGTACATTACTTATTTACAAATCAACTTTTTGTTTGGTTTTTCGTTTCACTTTTTATTGAAAATAGGAGTAGAAAAAGTGATTGAATTAATATTCTGATTCATTTCATTTGTATTCTTTCCCTTTCTAAAATGTAAAATGAAGTGAATGAACGAAAAAAAAAATAAAAGAACTCTCCTTTAGAAAAAAGAAAGAAGAGGAGAAGAAGAAGAAAGAAAAAAGGGAGTGTCACTAGGGAGACAAACGGTAACCAAATGATGTTGGGCCAGTGTCACTTAGCAACCTCAGAACCAATGAAATCCCTCGCAGTTGAGGGGGAGTGGCTTATGTTAATGAACAGTTACAAAATGACCACCTGCCTCCAAAGCTACCGCAAGTACAATAACACACTCTATTTCATCTTTTGACCATAAATAGTGCTGTTATTAAATACTACATTTAGCAGTAGTGTCACTACTAATATTACGACAGATTGGTCTCCGTGTGAACGCCTCTCTCCATACAAAATAACAGACAGAAAACAAACAGCTCAATCCCGTCAAAGGCCCTTTAACACTTTGCATGAGTAGTGAAGAAGACTACGAAGAAGATCATAAGACACTACTGACCAGTGGAGAACAGAGCCACACAGCCATGGCATTTACCCAGTAAATAAGGAACATTCAAAACTACTCAATATGGATCTGTGCATCTCTGCCGTTGAATCATCAGGATGGCTAAAGGCCGAGATCAGACTGCCTCGGTAAAAACAAAAGAAAAAGGAATCACGCCTGCATGCTGTTAAAGAGGCGTTTCCACACCAGCAACAGATAACTAACGGAAGAAAACACTGATGACGTACACGAGACTGCTCTCAGATGGGCCAACTCATTCATTAAAGCTGCATTTACACACAGGCACACAGTACCTGTTTGTTTCTAACTTTTTGTGGTGAAGTGTGACTTTCTTAGCAAAACGTTTGTAGAGATCCTATGTGCCGACAAAGAGGGAAAATGTGTTTGTTTTTTTGTGTGACTATTGTGGCCAAAACTGAGATAGCTGCTACAAAAAAAAAGATGAAAATATCTAAACATAAACCAGTAGCCTAACCCTCATCTCAAAGATATGCGAGCACACCGGTATGAGCGTCACCGCGTTCTACATTCAAGGGATGAAATCATCATCATTGGTGGTGCAACGTTAAGTCTTATCATTAAAACTAGAGAGAATTAGCAGATGCAGGGAGGCACAGACATTCGTGGTTCCACTGAGCTGCTCCACCACCAGAACCACTCGCAGAAAGTGAGCGTCGTAAAGCTGCTGCCACGCCTCTAGAGCGGAGAGAGTCCGCTGTTAGAAACACTAGCTGCTACAGAAAACTCCTCTCCTCAACCGACAACGCTGTGGGTGCAGCGTTCTCCACTAAAGTGAAACACAGAGAGCAGTCGCCGTGTCAGACTCAGACATTCTAATATGTGCAAATAGGAATCTCTTATGATTTATTATTGATTTGAATAACGATAAGAGAAGGAATGAGTGATAAACACCAAGGCTTTCAAGGTCCTTCCAATACTAACAGTCGTCCTAAATGTTCTCACACGGGTGCTGCTACTACCTCTACGATCCTTTATGTCATTTCTAAATCTATTACGCAAGCACATATCTATTTGGTTCATTTCTAGGGCTCAGCAGCCGAGGGAAAAGGAAGTAAATCAATTGTGTTTTCACACAATTCATCACCACACTCACGAGTGAAGAAATCCAATTGTCCCATGACTGATTGGTGAAGACTCAACATGCGTCTATGAGCGTTTGAGTGTTACTACTACAGTATGAGCCAGTGCAACAAACATATCTAGAGTTAAGATTCTTTCAAGGTTTTAATCCGCCAGGTGTAGGTATTGTAATCACATTGCATCTACTCTTGTTCCTCCCTAAACTCCTGCACTGGCAACACACAGACAAAGACTACAAATCACACACACGTGTGTAAACCTAGTGGAAACATTCAGCGCGTGTAGAGTTTTAACAGTATGGCCCCCCTCCCAACCTGATCTGGGCATTTCCCCCCTCAAAGAACCAGATTTGTTTTGATCCTCTGCAAAGTCCAGCTCCAAACTATCATTTCATATAATATAATTTAGACATAGCTGTTCTATATATAATATCTAAAATAGAAGATACTTGCAATATAAACTTGAATCTCATAATATATTCCCTCTTTTGCTCTCTGTTCCACTTCCCAAAGCATCCATCAGCGCTGATGTCAAAGTAACATCCGTACTGTTTCTCCAGAAAAGGGAAATCATATTCTAATTATAATGAATTAAACTTCTACAAACAGGCTATGCTGATTCTTACCAAGAAGAAAAAAAAGGAAAATTCAAAAATAGTCCTCTTAAAATATTTGTCAGGATCAAACAATGATCAACGAACACTTCCGTTTACAAGAAAATATAACGTGCATCTGATCCACGTGAGATCTGAGTGACCACGACAGGAGGCCTCACTCCCTCTGATAAAGTGATACGTAGCACATATCTGTGTGTAGTTTAGGATAAACACACAGCTCTTACACGTTTCAAATGGCCATGTGTAGAATACTATTTTTGTTGAAGCGTGTGAGGATGACATCTTTTCTTAATACTGAGCAGCTTGGATTGTACTCGGTCATGTACAGCAGCTCTTCCACACAAACACAAAAATAGATAAATAAATTCCACATTTTTAGATCAAATCTGCCATTAAAAATAAAATTGGATAAACTGTTCTTTACCAGACTTATATCTTTCTTTTTCATTGCTGCTAAACCCACACAATCATTTGGTTCCTCCCCCCCTTCCTTCAGTGAGGATTCCTCTGCACACACACATACTTCAAGTCCTCTACTCCTTTCTTGGAAGAAAACAAATAGAAGCTACATGATTTTCATGGCTCAAAGCATAGAGATATCTAGTGCTTGATAGGCGGTATTTTTTTGGTTTGATGTCTTTAACAGCTTCAATAATGCAGTGTGTGTATGTGTGTGTGTGTGTGTGTGGCTGACGTAGGACTAGTGAAGGTGAGACAGGTCTCTTGGTGCTACAGTAGGAAAATGTCCGACAGGTTGCTGGTAGTTCAATGTCTTTCAGCTTACTTCACGAAAAATGAAACAAAAGCTAAACGCATGCTCGATTTCAGATCTCTCCCAAATTGCTTAATTTGGCTCGTGAAATGCATTCACTTCGGTACCGTACTGTCGTTAAAAGCTGAGCTCTTACTTCTGCAGTCACTGGTAATGGATGCATTTCCAGACATCTCCGCTGCAGTTAGTTATGTCATTTGGTTATTTGTGTTATGCAGCTAACGGGGTATAAATGTAGCCGTATTGGGATGGACTTGAGGAGCCACATCGTCTGGGAATCATCCGAGCCGGTTGGTGAAAAGACCTAAACGGCTGTTGTGTATATGCCGTCAGCTGAAACATACAATGTTCCATCTTCAGTAAATATAACTACATTATTCCCTGCTGATTCCTTTTGGTCAAACATACAAGTCAATAAAGTGGGACTGACCCTCAGTCAGTAGGATTCTAGAACACATTCTCATATTTCACAACATTCCTAAATAAATGTCCTGCCTTTTTCCTTCCTCTAACATTCTGGTGATTAAATATTACATATTGATATATTTCTTGCTATTATATGGTATATGGTGTATAAAAATATACAATCATTGGCTAGTGGTGAGACAAAAGATATCATTCACATAGGACCAATACTTTATATCCCTAGAGAGAGAAACCCATGCACGTATACCTTTACTAGGAGATATAGTTCACCATGTATGAACTGAGACCACCCAGAAATCCAAACATGATGAAATAAAACCTTCAACAATCCCCCAAAAAAGATACTCTCCCCACCCAACATTGTTATTCAGACCAAACACCCACTGCTTCCCATTGTCGTCAACAGATTGTCTTCCATCCAGCGGAACCCGCAGGCCTTTGATTCCCCCCCCATCTTTGCTTTCACTCGAGGAAAGTGGCTTACATTTGAACTGCGCCCTTCATGGCAACACAGCTGCAGCTTATCAGCCTGATTAGCAGCCTGATAAACTGGCTACTAGCAGTGAGGCAGAGACCACAGGTAAACACACACACACACACACACACACAATAAACAAGTGTAACTACTATCATTAGTAATGGCTACATTCCATTTAGTGGTGGTGCACGCTGCTTTACTGGCACGCCAATATGAAAATAAGCCGTGATTAAGGTTAACAGTTGCACTTGTGCTTTTTGGGCAAAATGTCAGCTGTTAAAAAGGACTATTACTGGCAGGGTGGACACAATAGACACTCCTGCTGTGTTCCCTTTCCATATAACACACTACCCGCATACAACATAACTACATGATCTTTATGGTGTGTTTTTGCCGTTGGTATGCAAGAAATCAGCATACTTCCCCATGTTACACTGTGCTGGTTTATGTCAATTTAACTGTGGCTTTAAAATGACACTTATCATTTAAAATGTATTTTTTATAAATTTCTAGAACTGTCTCACCACCATCTGCTATTTGCTTTAGAAGCCATTGAGTTTAAAAGATGAGGGCAGGAAGGGTCTATAGAAGAAATATTGTTTGTTGAATTATGGGAAATGTAGTATCCACTATATAACAGAATTAGTGTGTGCGATGGAATTGGTAGTTCCACATCTTTATTGTAAGTGTGTCATGCGGTGTGGACTCTCACTGTTCCGGTCTTGGTCTTGCCTCAGTCTCGATACTCTCTGGTCTTGATCATGACCTGGTCTCGGTTTAAGTGGTCTCGACTACAACTCTGGCTGCAGTTTAACCTGTGGATTTAAAATTGACGTTTCCATGTATATTTTCCACTTTGTGCCTGAATATAGCATATAAGCAATCAAGTGTATGTTTGTCTGTCCCTAGCTTTGACTTCAATCCACCTATGTGTTTTGTAAAAACTACTAATTATTAATTTGGTCCATTTCATACAATATGTTCCCACTGGTCCATCTTCCAAATGTCAGACGAGGAAAAGATAGAAGTTGAAGACAGAGACGATGGCAACATAAGTAGTGACACCTGTCTAAATTGGGGAGTAAAACACGAGCTCCGTCCTCCTCTGGGTGAAGAATCTGAAAATGTACTCGGAGCCCGTAAGACACAAGATATGCAAAATCACCTTCCAAACAGCCTCCACTGCTGTCCGCCGTCAAATGTTTATCTGGAGAAGAAATACTGACTTTAATCATATTTACACTAAATAGAAATAGCTACTGTCATGAAGTATGATATGATACTTAACCTGATCAAAACAAAACGACTGCAAAAGCCGGCACGCTTAATGCCAACGTGTGAACCTCATGCAATACCAATCGCAGCTCAATCCATTTAAAGACTAAAGAAGGGAATCCACAAGAGGAAGGGATGCAGTCAAACTCATATTGAGTCAGAGAGTTGGATTTAGTGTTTTTTTTTGCTGCTGAATCATCAAAAAATAATCCTGGGGCTACACTGGCTGGATGTTAAACCGCAACCAAAAACACCAATTTCATGTTCGATGTCTCAATACACATTTTAGACTGCGGATCCAACAGCCTGGCACGAGAAGGATAAATAAATACATCTTTACTATACTGCATTGCAATGTACCTGATTTCAAGTATGTTAGGTTTCTCTGGCATGGAACCCGCTGAGATCACTTACAAATGTAACAAACTGAAAATAATACATCATCATGATACTGATTCTTCAGGGTACCCACAGTCATAGTTATTGCATTGTTTTTGCATATCTTGTGGGATGCAGGATTACACCCACGCGTACCATATACTGCAACACAACAACTCAAGAGTTCATTCTAACCGATGTGTAAAATAATAACTGCAATGCTGCTCCACTCCACACGGGGGCCCCCCCACAGGCCTCTGACTCTCTCTCACCAGCATTTGAAACCACAGAGCCTTTAAACCTCAAACAGACACAACACAGCCTGGGTTGGCACTTCTGATTGGCTGGGTGACTCTAAGTGGGCATGTCTCTCTGTAATATGTACGTGGACGTTGATTAGGAACACAAAAGTAAAGGATTTGAACTAAATGTAGTTTCTGAATGCTCCTCAAAGCTGGAGGTGATACTGAACATTTATCCTATTTTCTTTTTCAGCTCGGTCGGTCTGAAAATGGTTCTGTGTCGGTTAAATGATTCGATTCATTAATTCGTCAATCATTACATGGTTTCTTATCAGTAACATTCACAGCTGTATCTATACGGGCTGACAGAATGGTTGGTAGAAAGCAGACACACTCGCTGGCTCCTTTGTGGCAGTTTGGATACCAAAACTACTACTTTATATTTATTCTTAAGGATTTAGACCTGATAGACATTAGGTTTATCGAGTAAATCAGCATAAATAACCAGGAGGAGAGCTCATTTGGTCTTTTAAATTCAGGGTTCAATAAACTTGACCCGGGCTGATCCAACAAAGTGTGGGTACAAAAACCAGAGCACACAGTGTGAGACTAACTTTAAGGTTGAAACCCTGAACCCCGATGCTTCCCTGCACACACATTAACATGCTCGACCGTACCTAAATCTGCTTTACTAACTTTTAGACGAAATAAAAGCAACTTATACAGAAACTGGCGTGAGCCACTCGTAGCTAAGTCGTCTCTTAGCTTCTGGTACCAAGTTATTTCTTTATAAGTACTATTTAAATGAGGCGCTTTTAGAATAACTGAAAGAAAGAAATGAAGATGTTTGATGAGGGCCAAAGGAAGAAACAGACTAAATGTCAGGGAGGGTATTCCTTTGTCAACACAGACTTCTTCAGGGTTTGCAGTATGATCATAACCATAAAACAACAATAGCACTGCCACTGGAAAACATGTTCAACATTCACATTTAGTTTGCATAATAATGTCAGAAGTCTGTTTACTGGCACAGGATGCAGTGTATGGCAGTGTGTTCATGCATACCCTTCCCTGTCACAAAGCTGCTCTGCTCAACACGCAGGAATGAGAGCTCAGCAGTCGGACCTTAAATGGGAAATTAAAGTGAAAGTAATGGCTAGAAGTTGAAATGTGACAGAATCTCAGGGCAGGAATTCAACGTCTTTTAAAGTGAGATGTTTAGAGGTAAAATCTATCGCGACATATTTGGACTTTCTTTAGAGCTAATAAGAGAGTTTGAGATTAAAACTACTGTTGTCAATGCTCTAAGCTTATCATAGAATGTAAGTTCTTACATCCACTGACGTGTATCTGCATGTGAGCGCTGCTCTAACTTTCAACACTAGTGTCCTGTTGACTTTGCATCTGAATTGTGGCGGTAACAACAATGATGTTTTTTTTTTTTTTGTCTTGTTACATCCCATTTTAGAGAGCTGAACTGAATCATTTCAGTTTCAAAATACTATAAAGTTGTTTAATAAATGTGACAATCGGCACCAAGGATGTGATTCTGACATTGGGAATGTTTGACAGATATAACACCAAGGTGATACCCATGCTCTGTGTGATGTACTGAAGGCTGAGGTCCATAACTGGCTGTGGCGCCCTGTGGTCATACCGTCTCAAGTGAAGCTAAACTATAATCCAGAAACAAACTATAATAGAGAAAGGTCAGTGAAGAGTTGTCAGCATGCTACCTTAACGCCATAAGAAGAAAATGAAAGGACAAAAATCTCCAGGACACTTTTCTGATCTAACCCGATCATTTTTCACGTAATCAAACAATTACACATCTTATCAATCGACAGTAAACGACCTGTCTGTAGTATATTCTTTCAGTAATTAGTGTTACCAGCAAATTATATTACAGACAGGGAGCGGTTTTATTTCCACGATGACAATAAATCATAATGTTTTGTGATATGAGCAGACCTCAGACAAAGAGATGTGATTCAGAAGTCTTGCAGCATCTGTTCACCAGCCCTAATAGTTCATTTGGAGTTTAAACTACGATTAAATGATGTAAATCATGTGATTATGGTGTGTCACAGCCGAGCGATCAGGGCGTCACCCCCCCCCCCCCCCCAAGTTCATTCATGTGGCAGTGCGATTTTGGTGCTTCTACCATTCAGAGAGACCGTCCACCATAAAGAAGAAAAGCAGCAATTGCCAAAAGGCTTCTTCCCTTCTGGCCAAGCTGCAATGCCGAAAACTCACCACCGCTGTAAACTGAGCCGTCACTCGGACCCCGCTGGAATCCTTTACGCCTAATAACCTCTAAACAGAGAAATAAAGGAAAGTTACGCACTGACAAGATTTTCAAAGAGAGCGTGGCTTCAGACTCTGCAGCTTGGCTAAAAAGTAAAAGCCGTGCTAAAGAAATCACAAAGCTTTGGAAGCATGCCTGTCCATGGTAACCCTGTGTTAAGGAGGCCCATTATCACACACTCACACACACACATACACACACACACCCCCACACACAATACCATACTTGTAATGCTACCTTAATTTACTGTCTAGGCTTAAAATCTGCTTTTTAGAATACATAAGTAACCACTCGGACACAGGCACGCACACATACAAACTCACACCCTCACACGTTTTTTTCTCTTCTGGGAAAAATAAATAAATAAATAGATACAATCTGTAAAAGGTGCATACTGATAAGAGAGAATGACCCCTCTTTTAGATACACACGCCATCTCAAACATTCGTACATACATACGTCCATCCTGTACTAAAACGCAGACACACACCCTGCACGCACAGATATAGTTATACACTCGCACACAAACACTACGCCCTGCTTCGATACTTAAAACCTCTTAAAATTCTCCTAAAATAAATCGAGCAAAAATACATTTATGAGACCAGCACCCCGATTTTGCAAACAAATCAAGGATAAATTAAACCAATAACATCATGAATATAAAACAAAATAGTCATGGCTAGCCAGTTTTGCACAATATTGAACTGTTAAATACATAGTGGGCGTGGTCTGTAGAGAGAGTGTGTGTGTGGCAGCAAATCCAATAGGATTCCACGCTGAAAGGAAGAGGAGGGTCTCGGAGAAGGAAGTGAGGTTGATTGACGGACAGATTCTCTGTAGATTCATGCCCAGAGTCCGCTTTCTTTTCAATCGGTCACTCCCGTTCTCTCCTCCACCCTCCGTCTCTGTTGCCCTGTTCGACACACTCACCTCCCGAGGGCTGAAAAAGCAAAAAATCCAGCGATGGAGGAAGAGGGATGGTGGAATAACCAAAGAAGAGGGAGGAAGGAGAGAGGGAGGAGTGAGGAACGTCGAGGTATGAGGCAGAAAAGGGGGCTCGCTGTCTCTGCTTAGCCACCAAATGCTCCTCCCATTTCCTGTTTGGGGCAGGAAGTGGGCGTGACCAAACAAGGAAAAGCGGCAGAGGAGGCGAAGCCAGGTCAAGGTGACAGACTTTGTCTCTCGCTGGCATCTCACTGACCAGCGGATTTCAGAGCTGGCAAGCTTCCTGTAGGCCAGAGAGTGTCTCTCTCTGCCCATGGCCCCCTACAGAAGCCCTGTTGTGGCTTTTGGTCCATCCCTCAAATCCTTCCCCCCCTGGCTGGGGGTGGTATGTCACCTTCATCCCACCCCCGGGCTGGCAGGGCTGTGCTCCAAGGTCCCTTAGCTTTGGAAGAGGAAGAGAAATGAGATATCAAACAGGGTTTTCCTCACCCCCGTTTACTCAATACAGCGCTTCATTATCAGTGAACCAAGAAGGAGGAGTTGACCTTTGACCACAAATGTGTGCGGTCAGATCTAAATCCTTAACTGACCCCCCCCTCCCACAAGCTGGCCTGCTGTCCCCTACCTGGCTTCATGGCGGCCAGACAAACAACAATAACACAACACCAAAGTAGGCATAGGAAATGAAAACAATAAACGCACTACATCATCTGCAGTAAACCCATTAAAAGGACTTCCTGCTTCTGTTGTTTCTTTTCTACCTTTCCTTCATCCTTTCTTTTTTTTTTGCTCGTCTCCACTTTCCTTTTCACACTTTGAGGACATGATAAAACTGTGAGGCACTTTAGAGACACACTCAGACACGTGTGCAGAACACACGCACTCACGCACACGTACAAATAGAGAAAATCATAGATCACACACACACAAACACACACACACAAGCATACACTCAGATAGTATAGAGTATAGTGTGGTATACTTGACTACAAACATTCACACACATACAAACTCTTATAAACCAACAGAGTCATAACCAGGTGTTTAATGTTGCGTCACTGGCCGCCATTGTCCAGAGCGGTTACGTCTGGCTGAGAGGCAGACAGTGTGTGTGTGTGTGAGGGGCGGGGACAGACAGAGCCAGCCATGGCGCTGTTACCCAGCACTGACGAGCGTCAGTCTCTGATGATGTCAGAGGGGCCAGTTGGCCAATCAAACCTGTCAGTCCGACTCCTACAAACTCGTCACACACTCCATATCCTCGTCCTCTAACAGCCTGCTGTTCCTCTGCCGCGCTCCTCCAATCACAACCGAGCTTCTGTGCTGCTCCTCCTCCCTCTCTTCCACCTCTTCCACCTCTTCCTCCTCCTCCTCCTCCTCCTCCTCCTCCTCCTCCTCTTCTCGTCCGCTCCCCTCTGCGAGCAGCTCCTGTCGCTCCTCCAGCGAGGAGGGCTCGTGGATGGAGCCTCTGCTTCCGCCGGCTTCTTCCCCGCCTTCGCTGACCACTTGGTCCCTGTGCGTTGCTGCTGCTGCTGTGTGGAAGGGGAGGAGGTTGCCGTTGGGGCTGTGCTGGGAGCTGGAGGAGGCGCTGGATGTTGCGTGCGTGGCGGGGTTGCCGTTGAGAATGTTGTTGGCCGCGTGCTCCATCTCCTCGATGGTCATGTCGCACGCGTCGGCCAACTCGGCTTTGGTCACCTCGATGAAGGACGGGTCCTGGGCGAAATGGCCCAAACCCTCTGATATTAGCACCTGGGGAGGGAAATGGAAAAGAAAGGAATGGGCGGAGAGGAGGAAGATAGAGAGAAATGGGGGGGATGGAATGGAGGGAGAGGGAGAGAAAAGTAAACTTCAATGTAGTAGGAAAAAGATGGAATGTTTACAGCTACAACTGATGATTATTTTTCTTTACCTAACGGTGAATTATTTTCCAGATCAATCATTTGTTCTATAAAAGATTTGAGGTCCAATAGGTAAAACTATTCAATATTTCACAAAAAAACAAACACATAGTACGGCAGACATATTAATCCTGTGAGGTCTCAACCCCCAGGCTGGGAATCACTGACATAATACAAAGATTGAGGATGTTAAAGCTTCAGATAAATGTCTAAACTTCTCCAACATACACACACACACACACACACACACACTTACTGCCTCCACCAGACTGCCTGCACTGCCGTGACACAGTGAGCTGGAGTCTTTTCCCAGTAGCGAGGGCACTGTGAGCGACACCGGCCGTGGTGGTCTTTGATTGGACACTGACACACTGGGGTTGAGGCTAGGACTGGGCACCCGGCTGTTCCCATTACTGTCGCTGTACCTGGGAGCAAAAAAAAACAGTTTATCATTATTACTGTTCCTACAGTATCATCGTCACAGCTATTTGAACAAATGCACTGTGACTTATAACAGTTATTTGAAAGGTACTTGGTCTTACCAGGGCCCACAGTTGACAGAGGGCAAGCTGGTATTGAGCTTTTCATGGGAGTTGTAGCCCTCTAGCCTTAGAGAGGGCACTCGCTGGTAGGAGGCATCACTGCCATGGGCTAGAAAGAAAGAGGAGAATAACCCACTAGGAGAACGAACCTCTCAACAAGAACGACAAAGCTGCAACTTGACAACAATATGCACTTCAAATTTCACTCTTTTTCCCCTCGTTAAATAAAGGTAGAAGTGTGCTTGATGTGTGCACAGGATGCAGTATACCTGTGGGACTGGCTGGAGGCGTGGAGCACAGCCGGCTGAAGAGGGTAGGTGAGTGACTCCGTCTTAGCAGAGGACTCAACCCTGCGACTGCCAGAGCCTGGAGGAGGACAGAGCAGAGGGACAGCGTCAGCGGACGTTCACGTGTTGCGTCTAAAAACACGCGGAAAACACAAACCGTGCCCCTAAAATCTTTTTTTCCAAGGTGCTTGGGGGGGTTGTGCACCTGTCGTGCACCTGTCGTGCTTTGCGTTACTAAGTAACCAAAAACATGTGCATAATTTAGCGGTAAGCCTCACTGAGTAAACTAAACAAAGTAGAAACAAAGATAAATGGATTTCCAGCACAGCAAATCCCTCACAGTAGCTTTACTGCTTGATTTGTCTGTGTCAGACCTTTCAACTGGATGTTGGGATTTCCTGGTTAAGAAAGTAAAATAGTCCGTGGGACATACTGTAAAGCTCTGGGTAGCCCAGCATTTAAATTATTAGCTTCTCTCTACATTTATTGTAGACTAATTTTACGGAAGGGTGTAAAAATTGCGGCATGTGAACGGGCCCCTTAGACAGGAGCAAGAGGTGAGGATTATGTCTGCCGAACACACAGCACGGCAGGGAGTTCAAATTATGCATTTACACCCTCAAAGTGTGCGTTAGTGTTTATTTTGTGGGCATCATCTACCTGATGATGTACAAGGTGTAGCGGTACAGACGTCTTTTGGGAGATGTCTGGCCTCGACTGTCTCCTCAGACACTCCAGATGGAAAGACGATCTCCGCGCTGACACACATAAACACGCAAACACAGCATGTAAAAATGAGTACAGTATAGAAACAATTAGTATTTTAGTATGTAGACTAGTTGTACCAATACTTTAGAAGAGTTTTTAGGAGAGAAGTCCACTTACCCAGAGTGGTGGGGCAGAGGAAGACTCTCCTGGGAGACTGCCACCCTCCTCCTCCTCCTCCTCCTCTTCTGTCTTCTACCTCTTCTCCTTCCTCCATGGGATTCAACTGCTTACATGTTTCATCATGATACACCAGCCTAATAAGAACACACAGGCACCCAAAGAGGAGTTTTATAAAAGACATGCCCCAAAGATGAATCAAATTTAGAGTCGAAAATGATGTGCGTCTGTTTTCAGCAGTACATGTCAGAGGAGAGCGAGTGGTCGTCATCGTGGTCGCCGTAGCTCTCATCATACGTCTCCTCCGTCGACCCCTCGCCTCTTCGGATGATCGGCCGACGGCTGTCACTTGAGTCCGAGCTACCAACAAACAAACAAGCACACGACCAAAACAAACAAACCGACAAAATGAACAAACCAGAGCACAGATGGAAAAAAACAGGTAGACAAATAGGCAGACAGATGTGAACATAAACACAGAAAAAAAAGAAGCAGCTGATTAGTAAAACAAACTCGGAGAGGAGCTTAGGAGGAGACTGAAAAACCCACTGAGGCATGTAGGAAAGAGGAAGGAGGAGATGAAGAAAAAGGAAAAGCTTGAAAGAAAAGGAGAAGCAGGTGGGAATTACAACTATGTTGTTTAAACAAAACGGTAAAAAGCATCGAAGGCAACACGTGGAATATGACAAACTGATAGCACGACTGAGGTGCAGACATCTTTAAAAAACAAAGATTAGGACAGACAAGATAACGGCTCATAACAGCTAATAATGTTAGTCAATACTTGGAGACCAGTATTGTAATGCAAGCCTACTGGGAAATTAAGCAGGTACATTTTATGCTGTTCTCATCATTTAAAATGAAGGCCAATAAAGTCCTAGAATCAGACGCCGTCTTTTCTACTCATCTCTTTAAGAAGTGGAGGCAATGCCTACATTAACCTTGATGCAATTTTGTTAGGAGAAAAAACAAGAAAGTCTTAATTCTGAATTCAGTGTTGTGTGTTTAATCCAAACTCTGCATATACTCTGTATTACGTTGTATTCTCTTTGAATTCCAAAGATGTCTTGTCCCCCTTATCTGTCCACATCTGTTTCATACTCCAGACTTAAGCTTTAAGGAGACATCCTGACATTCAAAGTGAAATATTTTCTTCTTCACCAGATAGTTTGCTTAAGTGTTACAACATGTGAGCTCCCCAAAACCATCTGTCAATGGTTGTGTTTCAATAAAAAACAGGAGTCACAACAAATGACTTAGCTTGCAGTTGGCAGAACCCATTATTCTTTACTGTGAACACCCACAAATACAAATAGCAATTTGTGTTTTCGAGCACCAGCACATAAACTTCACCTAAGAACTGCCTGGTGAAGAAAAACTAAATGGAATTTGTAAATGTTATGATGTCCCTTTAATCCACAGCTATTTAAGCTGCTCCACAGCAATCTCTGGGTTAGAACAGCATTTAATAAAACCTGACTAAGACTCTTCTGGATCCGCTTGATCAAGCTCACTCCACTTGGTAGCTGGGTGGACGTTAACATCCAAGGTGGTAAATCAAGCGAATCCAAAGCCAAAGTGCACCGGAGAGCATACACTGTACTTTGTTTTGTAATGGAGCACTTAATTGTTGATCACAGGGAAAGTGAATACGTTCAACTCCTCTCTAATTAACTATGACCGAGCTGTCTCACAGGCTGACCTTCTAGGATCAAAACATTTAGCAAACGGAAATAAAAAGTCTAAGGCCCTGCTAGTCACGCTTGGAAGCTGCAATGTTTATTCAGGAAGGAATAAATGGTCAACATGATAACAATTTTGCTGTTCTCAAAGGCTTCCCAATATAATTTTTTTTGCAATTGCCAAGACACAAAAACTGGTACTTGCCGCACCATTACTGAAGTCGCTAACTCTGCTTCACAAATTTGAAACTCTAAAACACACTTTATGCAAATAACTATGCATGATTATCTACTTTAGACACATGATTCAAAACTAAAACCCATGTGTTGCTTGCTAAACATTTCCATTTTAAATACATCACTCTATTACCAATCCCCAGCACCCAGAATGCACCTGTGAAAACACCTGGAACCAATCAGATCACTTCAAAATCAAAGCTTGAACACTATTGATAGGATTCAGGTTTGCTTTTTGGTGTGAGAGAGTTAGAGGGCTATAATTGCAATAAACTATGCTGTATGTTGTTCACATTACAATACAGTAACTATGTTCATTGTAATCTTTAGTTAAAGTATTGTGTCTGATACTGTTACAAGTATATGAGTATTGAGAATAAACTAATTTGGTTGTTTCCCCATTGCATTTGTGTTAATAGTTTGCATTTACAGCATCCTACAAATGCCAAAGACTCTAGATAATAGTGTTTTATACTTAGCACATCAGTGTGAAGTTTGCATGTTGAAAGTGCTATTTATTTAGTGTCTGTGTGTACTGTTGTGATGCAAAAAAACTATTTTTAGAAGAGTTCATATAGTGAGTGTTTGCTTTTGCAAGAGATGTAAGATATTTTGTATTTTGTGTATTATGTTTTTGGTATTTGTGTGCAGGGTTTGTGTTTCAGCAATTGCAAAAAACTGTAAAGCAAAGTATAGCTGGGGGAATTAAGTTTGTCCTGAGGGTGGTGCTAATAGAACAGAGGCGATCTGAAAGTTGGATTACGTGTAACACTGAGAAAAGCTTATCATGTGACTGAAATGGAAAATGATTATACTCAGTACACGGGTCATACCGTAGACTTTGATATTTCTTGTGTACAATTTTAGTGCTAAATAAAATGTGAAGGATCACCAAAACCATTAGGAATCATCCTCTGGGGACCAAGAATTTCCAGAGCAAAGTTCATAGAACAAAGAGCGGAATATAGGACAAAGAGTATACGTTGTGTCTAACCCAGACCTGCCATACACTAGCAGAGAACAGTAGCAATAAGAGCCTTTGATAGGAAATATTTGGCCGTGTTGCACCAAACACGTCTATCCATGGCTTTGGCAGCAGCTTCTATAGTAGCAGCATAGAGCCTGGCTTTTGCTATAGCAACTAAAGCATTATGTGCATAGCAAATCTCACCATAGCACTTTGACAGCGATGCCATTTTATGTAGCATTATGAAACCTTTTTGCACGCAGTCAGGGGACTAACACAACACACACACACACACACACACACACACACACACACAGTTTCTCTCTCTGTCCCCTGGCAACATACCGCATGAGGGTGTCATAAAAACACGTCCTGCTTGCCACCAGAGACAAAAGACAGGGAAAGAGAGGAGGAAGGGAAAAGAAAGTGAAGGAAATAGAAGAACCATTTTTAAATGTCATGCTGGTTATTATGTTTACAGGCTAGCTGAATAACTGTGATGTTGGTTCGGAGAAAGTGATAGACTAATAATTCTTGCCTCAGTTCAAAACCACAAAAAACAGGAACGGAACCCCGAAACACCAATTCAATAAAAGATGTTTAGTGCTTTGCAGACTGCACTCACCTCTTTGGAGGAAAGCACCACGCGGACCTTGGCAGCAGGATTGGGGTGAGCGGCTGTCCTGTGTGCCCGTCCACAGTGCTTATGGACGGGCTTGGGAATCGACTGATGCCCTGGGTCGTCACCCCGACCATGCCAGTGTTGTTGGCATTGTTGATGTTGGCATTGGAGCCTGATGAGGAGTAAGAGGAAGGGGTGAAAGTGGTCGAGTCCATGAGCTTCTCGTGGGACGGACTCTCGTCTTCGCAAGGGGAGCCCTTCTGGCTGATGTGCAAGGGACGCTGGGTAGTGAAGGACTGTGGGAAGGAAGCGTGGCCATCGCTCTGGTTGTAGTAGTTGACGTGGTTGCTGAACAACCCACCCGAACGCTGTGGGGTGAGAGGAGAGAGGGTGAGAGAAGGGAGAGAGAGAGAGAGAGAGTAAAGGAAAGACGACAAAGAAGATGAGAACTGTGGAAAAAGACAGGGAATTAAAATAATGTTTAAGTGAAAATATCTTTATATCTTACTACAGTCAAACACCCAGACAGAAGTACTACTGTCACACAAAGCTCTGCCCAGCCAAGATGGAAATGCAAAGCAAAGGCCTTGTGTCACAAACCAAGGGGAGGTTGTATTCTCAACTTAGAAATGTATCTTTAACAGAATTTCTTTGGTCTTTTTATGAATCTTGGTCTAAAATCTCCACAATGCTTAATAACGGCTAGGTGTCAAAGGAGTCGTGTGATTCTATTTCTTCAATAAAGTTGCTCAAAAATATTTAAAACTACTAATTTCAGTCCATCTGTGTAACGCAGTGTACGTGAAAGTAACAAAATACAGCAGTAAACAAAACAAAGCGCATGAATGGGGCAATGACATTGACGGTGGAGGCTGATAACTCAGCAAAACTCACCCTTGAGCGAAGAGGTGTGTGTGTGTGTGTGTGTGTAGTTTCTGTCAGAGGCTTACAGTTATAGTGCTCAATTGTTGTTATTATTTTGCAATTTTCGGCCACTAGATGTGCTTCTAAAATGCATACGATCAATGATTAAAATTTAGTTCAGTATCTGCAGTGATTGGTAGCCAAGCTATGTGGTGGAAAATGAGGCTTTTTAAATGTCTTTTTGAACCTCTGAGCACATGCAAGAATGTCTATGCATGTACATGGAGCAATAATATGGCTTCAAGCTGGACGCCGATCATCTCTCTCTCGCTCTCTCTCTCTGGAGAGTGAGTGAGGGTGTGTGTATCCAACCTTTACCCTGAAGATATCATCCTCGGATACAGCCGACACGGGCTCCTTCAGGTCTTTATCCAGCTCCTCCTCCACCGTCAGGTCTCCAGAGATGGCCCTCCGAATCTCTGGACCAATGTCATGCAATGTCCGCAGGCCCGCCTACAAACATACCAAATTTGTCTCTCATAGAATAACACAGTGACCCACATGCTTGTCTATTTAATGTCACAACTCTGAAACAAGGCATATGTACTCACACGAACAAAATTCTGTCTTTCTAAAGTTAATTCATAACAAGAAGCCTCATATAAGCTGTACACTCTATTGCCCCTCATGTTTCTTTTATCATTTTGGGATCCATCAAAGTCACAATTTGACAAAATCTACTGCTGTCTTCTGAATTTCCTGACAATGCAACAAATGTACACATATTTTGGATCAATGGTAAACAAAACCCATGTACTGTATGTTTGTGTACCTGCAGAGAAAGGGCAGTTTTGGGGGCCACCTTGGTCACCAGCCCTTGTTCTTTCCTCTTCTTAAACTTGCGAAAATATTCCTGGATGAGGAAGGTAGCGTAGAACTTCCCGACTGTTACCTCATCATCTGCAAGAAATAATGATATCACATGCATGATTAACGCGCAAAATAATGCCTCACAGTATTTGTCAGAAATGCAGTTGCAACTCATGCTGCCGTGGTTTTGGTCAAAGTAAAACAAGAACAATTTAAATTTAGTGTAATGATTATTAAGTGTTCACATTTTCTATATTTGCGTTTATTGTTAAGATATGATTGAGCTATGAAACTGCATTGCAGAGTATACAAACCTCCAGCAGGGGGCACTACTTGATCCAAGAGCTTCATGCTGGTTCTCTTCCAGATCTTCTTCACTATCGCCCTCAGTTCCTCGTTGGCCTGCTCCAGGTTTCCTGCACACACACAAACAGTATAAATACCGTCAGTAGGCAATTTGAGGAGGGGGGGGATACCATCCCCCTTGTTTGCAAAATGAACTAAAGGCATGCCCCTTGTTGACCTGCCATCCCTCCTCTACATCCCCTAGCAGCAGAGTTAGAATCTATGGTCTCAACCATAAATATGAAGAGTCTAACTGTGCTGTGTATTGATAAGTCCATGAGTCCATCTGTTCTGAAGAAGCTGACGGATATGTAATGCCAGAAGTGTTGGTGGGATTAGGACAGTGGGTAAATCTGGGTGGGGATAGTAAAAAAACTGTACTGGTGCCTCCCTCATTACCACCACTGAGCAAGGCTCTTAACCCCAACTGCTGTATAGCTGCTACTATGCCAATAGATCAGACTGAGGTTGTACTGGATGAATAACTATGTAACTTCCCTGAGCAAAAAAACGTAAAAAAGGAAAACAGTGACACCTGGCAAGATGGTAATAAATTGAAATCCCATCTTATGCACTACATATTCATATATGCCGATGTGCCCAGCTTTGTGTATGTGTGTATCTTTTGCCTGTGCAAGTGCATTCAAGTGTGTGACTGTTACCGTCTGTCTTGATCCTGAGTGCGGTTCTGACCAGGGCAAACAGTGTGGCATTGAACATCACCGTTCCATCGCTGTTCAGAGGCATGTTCATCGACACCAGACGCTGCATGAGATGGAACATTTTGTTTGATCACGCAAACTTTTCAATATAAACAGGTACAATTCCTGTGCGAACTGCCAGCATCCATTGGCAGCAGACTCAGGTTTGTTGAAAATAAGCAGACAGTGGTTTGACACTATGGTCACTATTAATGGTCCTCTGGAGAGACGTGAATGTCTAAATATCTAAAATATTTTCTCTGTACGATCTGTTGTCAATGTGCCATTTTGAGTCACTGTGGAAGGTGTTATGAGCTGTCAATGTGTCATCACAATGATACCACAGATTTATTAATATTGCTCCCACCTGGCAAATAAGAGTGGTTTTAATTCCACCCCAAAATAGGCGCAGAATGAATTCTGATTACCTCATTTCTAAAGCCTGATCAAATGTTTTGTAAATTTCCTGCAGCCTTTTACACCATGTTCGGGGCCGAGTGTTTGTAAGCATGTTTACCTTGCAGGCTACTCTGTGTGGACAGAGCTTTCCAAAGCCGAGTGGAGGCTGGATTCTTCGCAGCAGAGTCACCACATCCAGGTGCTTTATTCTCCCTCTGGTAACAGCACATAGGTTCACATTACAGTAACTCTACACAATCTCTGCATACGAATGATGAATTAGTCGGTCGATATATGTTAATTCTCTGTAAACTTACTTAGCCTCTGGGTCATATTCAGCCCAGATCCTCTTGAATTCGTCAAGATGATGCGGCCCCAGGATTGACCAATCGCGTGTCAGATAGTCAAAGTTGTCCATGATGACGGCCACAAACAGGTTGATGATCTGGGGATAATCAGGAATCAGTCAGACACTACATTAACAAAATATAGGTGAATGTCTGTTTGAAATTATAACCACATAACAGCATGCAGTGAATCACTCCAAAATCCATTGAATGTAACATTTGATGTAAAATGTAATTTTAAAAGTTATCGTGTATAGGAATGGTTTGGGAATGCCAAACCACAACATTCGATGTTCAAGCTGTTGCTTTGTATTTAGACAGTAGCAAGACCTCTGAACTATTTGTTAGGACTTTCTCATTTTTTGGGAGTGTCTGTTTTTCCACCTTCCCTAACCTGTGATTGATTCCAGTAGACATACTGTGTCAAATACTGTCTGTTTAAATAATTAGTTTCCCTTTCTCACTGCACTCACCAGAAAGGCACAGAGCATGTAGAAGCTGACAAAGTAAATGATGGCAAACTGGCTGCCACAGTCCTCTTGGTCTGGGTTGCTCTCATTGGTCGATCCTTTCTCACACGGCCGATCGGGCGAGCACGCCAGCATGATCTCCTGCCATGCCTCACCTGTTGCACATCTGATAGATAGACATGCATGCACACAAACACACACACAAATATGCACACACGTTGACGCAGATACGCATGCAAAGATACGAAGACATTAGAAGTACACGTACATGCATAGATATGTGGATGGAGTCACATGTGCATTTATGCATCAACGCACACATACAGACGCACGGATGTGTGCGCGTATGCATACGGACATACAAGCATAGAGAAAACACACACGCGCAGTAACAAACACAGAGAGAGGCAGACACACAAACACAAACACAAACGCACAAGTGTTAGATTCACCATAAAGAGCAAAAAACAATCATTATGTTCTCAAATCTAAATTTAAAGAGCAACAGCAAAGACATTTTACTTCATATGCATTTCAAGTACTGTACATCGCAGTTTCAAGTATCCAAGCATCCTGCCTTCTCTGAATGGAAGCCCATTGCTATGATTCATTCTATGAAGGGATCAGTACATAGAATGTCAACGAATAGAATAGATACTCCGTATGATTTTATGGCAAAATGCTCACAGAAATAATAGAATTGCTGCCAAACCATACAATACTTTATCATATCTGATCTGTCCTTTCAGTTTCTGTGTTTTTCTTTTCACCCCTGCATGGAATCTTACCCTTAGGGCAACCACACAGGACTGGATCCAGGCAGTTTAAATGTATTATCAGTCGAGTCCACTCACAACTGAAGAAAGTGTCATCATCAGTGGACCGGAAATATTTGCGATAAATCAGTCAAGTTTACAACAATTTCCAGCTAACTACTGAGCACACTGGTGTACAGATATGATTTTAAAAGCTGTTAAAGCTGCTGAGTAACTGTTGAGTCTATATTTTTCAACTGGAATTTTTTTAAACTCTTGGCACAGTGGCAGTAACATCTTCTCACTGTACAAACTGAAAAAAACATCCCACGTTGGCTCTTGTGCAGAGTCAAGTCACAGAGTCGGCTGAATTTACAGCTTGACATTTACAGATATCCTGGCATTTAATTAACCAGCTGCTGTCAAAAAATGGCAGTGGCAGCTTCTAATGAAGACATAAACGCTTTTCAGAGTGAAAGGAAGAGAAGAAATATAGGAGAGCAAAAAGGAAAAGTTATTGTCGTTGATCTAACAGTACAGGAAGTAATGATGACGGTAGAAGAACAGCGGACGGACAATGTCGAAAGAAGAGATGACATTGACTTTGAAACAATTTACAAAAGTGTAGATATTGAGAGAAGTGGGAGGAGGATGAGGGAGGACACGAAGGGAGAAAAGGACAAAAGATGGGGAGCGTAGTCATCTTCCTCACCTGAAGAGCAGCAGCACTGCCTGAGGAAACGTCTGGAAATTGTTGTTCCTGTTGACCTGCGTGTGGTCCCGCAGCGCTATTTTACCAAACATCTGCACAGGAGGGGGAAGGAAGTAGTCACAGCACACAGGATATGACGTCAGCATTGACAGGAGGAAGTGATTGATCTCTGGGACAATCACAATTAGAGGCCGCTGTCCCTCTCATCATCATGGGTACAATCAACACAAAAGGACAGACGAAGAGGAAGAGGAGAGACATAGACTAGCAACAGCTAGAGGCGGAAGAGAAGTGGAGGAGAGAGGGACGACGTGACCGAAAAAAGGAGCTCTGGATGACAAGACTCCAGGAGGACAGACACAGGATGGAGGCCAGCTGGAGGAGAGAGAAGAAAAACACAACAGAGGGAGGGAGACAAGGGGACAAGACAACAGCTTACCTGCATGCCGATGACAGCGTATATGAAGAATAGCATCACTATAAGCAGAGCTACGTAGGGCAGAGCCTAAAGAGGAGAGAGACACTTTAGTAACAAGTTGTCGACAGTATTATCATGCACCAAGGCTGTAGTCCATTCACTTCCATTAAATTCTAACACATCCAATTAGTCAACAACTGATTTAGGAAATTCTTGTTTAAAAGAGTTGATAAAATTCACATATATTTCTTTATTTTTCAAATTAGCAGTTGCGATAAAAAAAAGAAAAAAAAGAAGTTACTTTATGAAGTGAAAGTGAACTGATCTGCAGCCCTGTGTGGCACAACACCAAAACAATCCAGGACAAATCATCTGACTTCGAAGTGAAAAACCTCAGTAAAATACAAACTGCTCTCTGAGTTTAGCCAGGAGACCAGTCCCAACGTACATCAACCAAACACGACCAGAACAGGTACGCCTTCTATATTCACACACCTGGGAGACTGTGTGGAGGAACTGAGCTCCTGGCTAACATTACCCCTGTGGCTGGGAGGGCAGGGCCAAACCATGAATAAATGAACAAGTAAAAGTTTGATGATGTGTCAATATGTAACCCACTGATAATTCAATAATGATAAGTCTACAGGAAGCTTAATTGTGTTAAGTGCAGTAATATATTCATGAGCACATTTGGTTTCAAATCACACCACGAGTCTGTTTTTTGTTGTATTGCCAATGTTTCGAATTTCAATGACATGAAGTGGCCCATCTCAACTGACACAAGAGAGAGAACAGATTATTTTCATTTCCCCCATAACTCTCTATCAAATGATTTCATTTTTTGGTGGAGTGCTTCGTTAAACTTAACTAGTGCTTAACCCGCCTACAGGGAATGGTGAGCTTTCAGGGGTTAGTAGTAGGGTGTTTGGGGGGAAAAGGGAGTAGAAGAAGAAGTGGAGGAAGAAGAGATGGGTAGGATAGCGAAGGAAATAGATTGCTGGTTAAGGTTCTTAAGTTCCTGGCTGTTTCCCAGCTTCATGTCCCTACAGCCCTCCCTGCCTCTGCAAGAAGACTCCTAAACCTCCTCTCCGTTACCTCACATCATCCCTCTTTCTTTTCCTCCTTTCCCATCTAGACTAAACTGTCCCACCCTTGTGATTTTTTTGCAAAAAATAGGAGGCGGAGAGGAGGAGGGAGGAGGCAAGGAAAGGAGAGGCGGCTTGTGAGAGTCCACCAGGCTGGATTTACACAAGAACAAGGATATTTTTAGCCCTATGTGACTCAGATCTGATTTTACCAGATGATTTGCACAGTATTAATAACATTAAATGAGATAATCACCTTGTTGGCACTCTATGCCAAGTCTGGATCACAAAATCAGCTATAAACCCTGAAATGTAGTTAAAATAGTGCTATAGCTTCAAAACCAGGGCTCCAATCTGGTTCACATTAGGGTTAAAGCTCCACTTTTGCTGCATCATTCAGTCCTGTGTAAACCCAACCCCCTGCTCTAGCATGTTGTGTCCGGTTCTCCCCTCACTTGGAAGGATTTGATGAAGGTCCACAGCAGGGTCCGAATCCCTTCCCCGCGAGACAGCAGCTTCACCAGCCTCATCACGCGGAACAGCCGGAAGAAGGTGATGGAGATCCTGGCGTTCTCTTCAGAGTTCTGCAGTCCCTTTTGGTGGGGTTTGGTGTTTTTTTTTAGAAAAAACACAGGACGCATGGGAACACATGCAGATAGGTAAGGGAGGGAAACACACGCACACACATACACACAGGTAAAGATGAACATACAAACGTACACACAAAAACATATGCAGAAATAAAGACGTACAAGTAACAGTCAAGTACATATTCCCACCCACATGTATAGGTGGATGTAAATATGTGAAACACACACGCACACACACACACACACACACACACACACACACACACACACACACACACACACACACACACACACACTGAGTTAATAAATGGAAGTCTGCGTCCTACAAAATCCCATCAAAATCAACTGACAAAAGAGATTTGGGAGAGAATCGGGCAATCATGCTCACTTTTCTGGCTTCATGGAAAAATCAAATGGCAACAAAGAGATTCACAATCCATCTATCAGCCCCCTGAATACACCTGCTTGTACGTCTCTTTATGTAATAGATACGTCCAACTGTGCAACAAGAAAAGTTATTTTGCAGTCTTTAAAGGCACCTTGCTGAACCACCAAAACTAAAAACGGCTCCATCAGTCTTTACTGGTATAATTGGTTCTAGCATTCTGCTGTTACTTCCACCTCATCTCAGGAATGTCATAATTAAGGTGAAGAACACACTCTTAGGTTTCTATACCTGTTACAGGCTAATCCAGCCTTGCAATGACATTTGACAAACAAGCATTAAAATGCTTTTAGAGCCACTGAAGTAAATCATCTCACTAAGCTGAACGATTTGATTACTCTGCACCGGTACAGACTAAAAGTCTAACAGTGGAGATCAGGCCAGGGAGATCTCCATCGATAACATCAAGCTATTTCATAAATCACTGATAACAATTCACAACAGATACAGTACAAAAATCTTAGCCTGCAGGCAACTTCCTGTCTTGATAAATCACGCAGGCAGGCTAATTGTTTATCTGGAGTAACTGGCCACCGGGACAAACAATCCAAAGATGACTTTCAGGTGGATAAAGATGTTAATACCCAATGCAGTCACTGCCGGGTATGGTGGTTAATGTTGTCATCTTAACTTTTAGTTTACTATGATGTTCTTTCACCCCTGCGATCATTATATTTGCAGAACCTATCCATTTTTTTGCATTATTTTGAAAAGTTGCAGTTTATTCAAAATATTTCTGAGTAAAGCTCTAAAGTACAAGCTTGAGAGGCACTGTAGCTTTCTAACTGTCTATTGTCCCAAACTCATCCACAGGAAATAACTCCATGATGAAATATTCAGCCATCTCGCTGAGTGCTATTCTAATACGGATTTAGTTATTCATGCTGCTGCTGCTCATTCTCACGGACAAAAAGGCAGAAAAAACAAAGGCGACATCAGGATTTGTGTAAAAGCATTATGCAGTTAACACATCAACTAAGGACTCATTATACTATTCAAATTATACTCCAAACAGCAGGGCGAAGCCAAAGATAACGTTCATACAACTACCAAATCATCAGCAACCGACAGCAGTAACAGTTACGCAATCACACCTAACTACACAGCAGTATGCATAAAATAAAGCTGACCACACAGAAATGCAGCACTTCTACCGTAACAATGCCGTTCCATGCTACATCTGCCTTCGCTGTGATAAATAAACACAAGATCATCCTACCTGACCTCTAAATCTGTTTGATGCCATTTGTGTTTTTCCAAGAAGCCATCAATTCTTTATGCTAATCCCAAAGAGAAAACACAGAGAGCTCCTAAAAAGGACTAGCCGTTCCCTACACACCTAGCTGCAAGTTTGGGATAACAGATGTCATATGTTACTTTTCAAGAGCAGAGAAATAACCCATCTTGTTTTTAAAAATGTTCTATAGAAATCAAAGATTGTAAAGTTGCATTGTTATATATTTCTGGGATAACTGGGAGTGCTTTATAAGGGTAGACATCACATTGTTCTGGTGATGCAGGTGTGTTGAAAAGTAACCCAAGACATGCGTTGTTCCAAACTCCACCGACAGATGTGCCGGAAATGGCAAATCCTTCTGAGGAGAGTAAGTCAAAATTCTGTAATGCAAGTAATACCACAACTGGACCACAATGGGGACCATTGCACCATTAACAGAGTGGGGCAGTGAGAGGGAGAGGTACAGTAACAGTAAGTGTAACAGAGCGAGAGAGAGAGTGAGAGAGAGAGAGAGAGAGAGAGAGAGTCTGAATATGAAGAATAGTGTGAATTATTCAGAGACATCCAAACAAATGGACAGGTTCACAGATAGATCAGATAGACAGCAGGCCAGTGGAGAAGAGTGAAAGAAAGAGAGACAGCGTGGTAGCGTGACCATGATGGCTTGCACTCATGACGAAGCACTAAAGATACCACATCCATAAGGGAAGGGGGAGCAAGTTGCAAGCCATGGGGGAGGTGGGGGCAGCGGGCACCAGGGCAACAACAATAGTCACTCAGGGAAAGTCACTCCGGTTATACTAGGCCTGCAGAAAACAGTGTCCTTCACCATACACACATATATGTACATATAGAAGCATGTGAAACAACAGCTACATAAACCCTGGACATGCTGCAGAAGATGACAGCGGGAGCGACAGAGGAGAGACGACAGGACGAATGGAAAAGCCAATAGTTTTGGATCATACCATGGTTGGCGTAGCAGGAGGGATGGAAGAATGGAGGGATGGAGGGATGGTGGAGGAGGTAGGGAGGCGGACGAGGTTACCGTCGGAGCGTACCATTGGCCTTACCACAGGGGGGTGAGAGGAAGAAGAGGAGGAGGAGGAGGGCGAAGAGGAGGAGGAGGACGAGGACGAGGAGGAGTCAGCTGGCTTTAAGGAAAGGCAACAAAGATCAGCACCAGAGCAGCGCCTTGGTGTGTCTTGGTGTGTCTTGGTGTCTGTGTGTGCAGTATGTGTGTCTTTTAGTGTTATTATGTGAAAAGTTGTAAGAATTTTACAATAACCGCCGGGCTACTGAGGGTCCAGTCTCTGATCAACTCTCACATGGTGAAAAGGTTAAAAAAAGTATATATATAAATATCATCTGGGCCAGGAGGGAGAATCCTGCCAGATATTACTACATAATGGAGACTGAACCCATCCTCCGTGAGGACCACGTCAGGCGGAATCACAGCACTAGAAGATTAAAACATGTGCGAAGTTTAAACTATTGCTGAAATCGCTGTCCAACGCCTTGAGGGCCAAAATATTGAACGATGGTCTGGGGCAGCCACAAAGGGGGGAAAGAGCTGAGGGTGTACGTGAGCCCATGTGCTTGTGTGTATGATGGCTGATAGAAGGCGCGCTTCTGTAGCTATCTGTTTTTCTTTCTGCCAGCTGAAGCTAAAGTACAGTAACAGTGGTTGAAGCTTTAGCTTGACTCAGGCTACATTTACCAAATGCATCATGGCATTAAAGGGCAATGCCTCCTTTGACTATGTGTTATTCAAGCATTTCTCTGACCTGAAAATAGCCAAGATCCAAGTGAAACTAGAACTTGAACCTACTTTTAGGTCAAAGGTGCATCAGAATACCACAATAAAAAAGGTTGAAGTTAAGATCATCTCAGTCAGACAAAGGTGATTTTAGATGCTTTTGGAAACTGGAGCCCACTAGTATTTAAATAACATTGAGAAGCACAAAGATAACATATTGTAAGGAGACACCCACTGGTCCTCTCTGGTATTACAACATATTACATCACTGGGAGTCATAGATTAACTTCTAGATTAATCTATGACTCAGGGGCTGTTTACTCTTTGGTGTTGGTCCTGTTAAAATACCTTACCACATAATGAAGAAATGAAAGGAATTTTAACAGAGCCATACACACAAATTTATGAATACATACATTATAAACTTGTACTACAAGCACAAACTCTTTGGGGAGGGATAAATGGTGTGTGTGTGTACATGTCTAAGGAGAAGAGCAGAGGCATTATGGTGTGAAAGGAAGGAAAGTTGGGAGAAGGACAACTAGGAAGGAAGGGAGGACGGAGAAAGGAAGGGATGATGGCACGGATACACACTAAGTGCAGACTAAATAAATATTGAAATATGGGAGAATGTGTGTGTTTGTCTGTGTGTCTGTGTGCGAATAAAGAAAAAGGACCAGATGAGTCAATTTAAGCATAACTAAAATCTGAATTTGCTTCACTTTCTATGTGAAATCGAAGCTGTGAACCACATAAGATTAAACTCAAATCATTCCTTGTTATCATATTTCTTATTATGAAGCGACACAAAGCAAATTACAGAGTCTAGCGCGGACTTCAAGGATCTGGACATGGGTTTTAAATTTAACCAAATAAAACCGTCAATTTGTAAATAAATATACAGAATTCCTTTCAGGCTGAACTACAGTGCGGATGTGAGTAACTGTAGTTGCAGCTCCTCGGATTTATGAGCTCATTTACAATGACCGTGAGCCGTTTTCTCACATTGCATGTTGTGTTTTCAAGCAACAATTTCATCGGTTCAGTCAGTTCAAAAGGTAAAACGGGTCTCTTGAGAACATTATCACCCTCGAATTGAGGTTGAGGTTTGACTCATACATTTTAAGTTGTAATACTGAAACACAAAAGTGCATCTTCATTAGAAAAACAACACTAACTTGTATACACACGCATATATACATCAGATAATTGGATTATCTCTGAGGATATATGAAAAGTATGAGAGACCCGTGTTACCCAGCTTGCATTTCAGGTGAGCAAGCAGCACCGCAAACCAAGGAGAGAGAAGACAGAGAAAGAGAGAGATAAACATCCATAAAAGAAGAGTTAAGTGAACTGAAAAAAGCTCAGAAAGAGAAGGAGAGAGATGGAGAAGAGAAGGCATTCCGGACAGAGAAAGAAATAGATGCAGTCCATACTGGCATCGTCCGCAAGACACCGCTCAGAGCAAACCACTACAGATCTATTCACACTACTTCTACTCAAAACAAAGACGTAAAAGAAAACAGACAGGATTTAAGAAGCACCCGCAGGTTGCTGGGGAGAATTAGAGACCCAGGGATTAACAAAGTATTCTGATTCGATGACCACAAAAAGTGCAGCTAATCTAAGTCAACAAGCACCCAACAGAGCAGCAAAGTGGGTGCACTCAAACGAGAGATTTTAGCCATTTTATATTTACTTTAAGTGATAACATTTTAAAAGCTGGCCTGTTACTGCACCTCGCTGTGTACTTAGGAATGCAATGACAGAGAGGTAGCTGTTGGCAAGTTGCTGCTATTAGTTTCTAATTGCATTGCTCAGTACGTTAGAAAGCATTCACCTGTGCTTCATCGCCTGGGTAAATGCAGTAGCAGGCTAGAATCTAAAATGTCTCAGTGACAGGGTCCCAGATCAAAAACAGACAAGAGTTCTCACAGGATTGAAGTGCGGAGGGTTTCTTAAAAAAGACAAATAGAAAAGGTAGCTTGGGCATCTCATCACGCAAATCATTAAAAGCCACCAGAGAAGAAGAAAAAGAAGACTTGGGCCATGCCTTTAGGTTAGGGGTGAGAGAGGATAATAATGAAACATTCAGGAAGAATCAACAAAATCAATCAAACCAAATCAAAGGCGATATCCAAACCAAAGCGTTAAGTGCAGCATCAGTGACTTGTATTGATGACAAAGATGTATATCTCCGGCCCATTGAACCTCAGAATAAAAGGTGGCTGAACGATCAGTGGTTTTATATTGTCACTTCCCAACAGAAATGTCTCTGTTAAGTGTCTATGAATATATTTATACACTCCTCTATCACCTCCTCACTCCCCTGACGTAACAATCATGTAATAACTAGACAGAATAATTGAATGAAACATGAAATATCCAAGTAGAGTTTTCAAAATTACAAGCTGTGGTTTCTAAGCAGCTTTGTCAGCCTCTCATGGGGAAAAATGGATTCCCTTTCTAAAGGCCCGAAAACAACAGCCAAGCTCATACACACATTTGTATGCCTGACCAGTGTTGTCTGAGGTGAAACACACTGCATTCCACCACGGGGGAAAATACCGGTGAGCATGTGTGCATATCTTTTCTATAACTCAAACCAGCAGGCTGAGGGTGTGAGAGCAGTTTAGGCAAACCTATACTTATAATGTGCATCCCCATGTAGAAGAAATGTGTCTATAATCGATGTGGCCGAATCAGAAACTGTTGGAGCCTAAACACATCAACAGCTCAGTCTAACCTGAGAATTAAAATAGTTTTCTTTAAAAGGAACATTTTGGGAAACGCGCTAACTTGTTTTTGGAAATACAGTGTAGCAAGGGCTGGTGTAAGTGTCTTCATAAGCTGAAACAAATATCAAACGTATATCAAAGTTAGACTCTCAGAGAGCTAATTTCAGTCCCCTGAGGAATTTTCCTTTTGCTGCTTGAGATGTTTGGCAGATAGAAGTCGAGGCATCAAATGGAAATGACTGATACTCTCCCACAAAAAAGCCACAAAAGAATGTTTTTTTCATGTGACATTTTGGACTGATCATAGCATCAGCTCACACAGATAAACTTGGCCTCTTCTAACGCTAAATTAAAAGTAGTTATGTCCAGACACACTCTGCAGTTTGCATGGTTCTCAGCCTATTCTGCTGCCAAAGAGCACTTTGAATACCACATGAATAAAACACCAATTATCCCTGAAGTGTAAATACGATAGACACTCAACATTGGACTTGTGTTTGGGATATTCATTCTTATTCAGCCCCACTGTTGACCATAGGGCCTCCATGTCGATAATAAATGAATTCATACCTACATTTACATAAATTTCATGGGTCCTGAGTAAATCCATTTATGGATCAAATTGTTCCCCATATCTGTAATGTTCCACATTACTCTTGTTGAGACAAAAACAAACAAACTGCAACTTGTATTTTTCTGATTTCAATTTAAAGATTTCTGGTGATTTATGAATTGAGAGCGTTTCAGGACCCTAAGGTCAAATCACCATTGTTAAAAAAAAATCAGTATTCATTCCAGAAATGTGGATCTTTTCAGCAAACATTACATACAGTATCAGGCCTGGATATGCCACCTTTACATCTGCCATGCTATACAGTGTCCATCAAACCAGGGGAATGGACACTATCCCCTGTGGCAATGATAAAAGATCAAATAAATGGGAGAGCAAACCAAAAAGTGCTGAGGGGAATGCAATAGGTTCTATTGGCAAGTGCAATAGTTTTTGATGCTCAGCAGACCGAGGCATGAATACCTATCTGAAGCCGTTTCAAATATTAGAAAACCTACAGGAAATGCTGGAGAAGATAAAAGCGCAGGAATTGGAAGGGGGAGATCATCGACAACAAGTTGTGAAACGTGTTGTTTTACAGCCTCCATTGTTATTAACATTACATTTTAACAAGATATAATGGAGTGATGACAATGTTAGTTCCCCAACAGCCAACATATTAATCTTAAATCAAACTGAAGATGTCAAAAGGTATTTAGATGTCAAGGCTCAAAGTTCTCCAAGCATAACTGTTCAGTATTTCACATGTTTAAACGCTCTGTTCTGATTGCACTACATCTGGCTGTTTTCTCCGCCAGACTGCTTCAGCCATCTCTTAAGTTCAAATGCGGTGCAGCTGAAGTTTCCTAATCATTTGAAAGCATGCGAGATGGGTATCGGCACTCTGTCTGTTTGTGTGTGTGTGTGGGAATGGCAGAGCAGGCAGGCAGGAAGGGAGGGAAGGAGTTGGACTACTTACGTTAACCTCAGTGATCGCTATGTCAACAATGCTACCCACAACTATCAAGGCATCAAATGTGTTCCATGCATCAACAAAATAATGCTGCGTAGGGGTGGAAAGAACAGAAAAACAACAGAAGAAAAGGACAGAACATAAGACATTTAAAAAATGGAAACAACGGAAATTAAAGGAGAGAGGAGAAAAATAAGATAAAAACATTATATACATGAGCATTGGAGTTTTTTTAGTAGGAGGACAGAGGAAAAGAATCAACAAAATTCAACAGCAAAAAAATAAAAGAAGGGGCAGTCTAAAAGAGATGGACAGCAGGAAGAGCAGCGGCGATCGGTCATGCTTGTCCATGAGAGGAAAATGTCAACAACAAGAACAGTACAGAACAAATTGCAACAAAACCACAACAAAAAAATGTCCCTGTTGCTGTAGTTAAAAAAGATGACGTGTAAGTCTGTTTGTGATTGGTCAGTGAGTTAGTTCAGTTAGTGAGGGAGTTAAAACCTGAGGACATGTCACAGTCTGATATGAAGTGGACAAAAAAATTAAGAACCCGACAACATCTGAGATACTGTAAGGAATAAGGAAGGAGGACGCAAGGCAGGAACCCTTAGTGTTCAATGCTAAACCCGGCCTCTGTTCTCTCTACTTTTTAAGATACCCAGGAAGAAGCTTGTTCTTGCTCAGGACCCCTTGTGGTTAGGGGGTCCCCTGAGTAGCAGCGGCCATCTTGGAGTTAAAGATGGAGGGAGAGAAGGAGAAGAAGGAAGGAGAGAAAAGAAGAGGCAGAGAAAAAGGGAAGAGAGACGGAGAGAAAAGACAGGACAACACACCACAGAATAGCCACAAAGGAGAGAGGAGAGTGGCAGGAAATGAAAGATTCAGAAGAAGCGAGAGGGCACAAGACAGAGAGAAAGAGGGAGCGACAAGGAGAGTGAGAGTGGGCATCGTACTTACGTTGATCTCACTGAGAATGACGTCTATTATGCTGCCAATTACGATGAGGAAATCAAACACATTCCAGGGATCACTAAAGTACCCCTACACAGGATGAGGTGAGCAGGAGGAGGAGGAGGAGGAGGAGGGTAAGAAAGGTAGGTTAGAAGGAAAACAACATCTGCTGCCACTTCGCAGACCTATTAAGGTGGTATGAGGTTAAACAGTACACTGAGGAAACGGAACAACAAAATCAGCTGACGAACCGACACATGAAAGGACACATTTTCATCCTACTGAACAGAATCAACTTGTTTCCTTTGCACTATCTGTTCATCAAGTGCAGATTTCCTGCTCTGTTGTGGCGTGTTAGATGGAAGTTATCTAAGTCGGCAACGCTGTGGCAGTGATTATACTGGAAGCTCACTTTGTTTGTTTAATTTATTGAAAGCAATTCATCACCATTAGCGGTGCAAAGTGAGTATTTATGAAAAACATCCACAAAGCTTTAAGCCAAAACAGTAGTATTATTTAGGGTGGTAAAATAAAAAATAGATTTGATGTACTGTAAAAGGAGCTTAGAAGGGTTTTGTTATGTTCTGGTGTAGAGACACAGCTTCATTAGAGTTGAATTCGGAGAGGCAGACAAGATCTAACCAGGGTAATTTGGAAACTGGCCTGGCGCATTGGCCTTTTCAGAAACATTTCCATATACTGTAAAGCAAATTACATTCAGATTCAGGGCTGATTGTTTTCCCATAGCACATTCAGATTCGTTCTAACACTGTGGGCTAGGAAGGCTAATGATGTTACCATGTTACTTCCAATGTTGTGCAACAATCTGTTAGTTATTGCATGTCTGAAGACGGTTGGAAGTTGGAGCAGGGGAATTAGAATGATCACTGTCTGGATAATGTGAGGCTTCTACATTAGTATCGACTTAGAGTATATACTGCGGTTCACCAACAGAAGAACTGTATAACTTCCCTGAAAAACAATTAGGTATGCACAAACAAATACCACCTAATTGATCGATTTTAAGCTTCATCGTCTGACATCAGGAGTGAAGGGATCACCATAAAAGGTTTCTAGACTCTATAGAGGTTTAAATTAAGTTGTTTGGAGGTGTAAGAATATGAATGTCAAACCAGGGTTAAACATGAACAGCATTCAATTGATTTGACAAACTTATTTAGACACATATCATTTATAAAGGTTGAGAGGAAAGTGGACCCCAAATAAAATCAACAATGTGTTCAGATGTTCAGAACTATACAACACAGTAAAAAAACAACCCTGAGGAACAAGGCTGAGACAGTGAAACCTGTACAAAAGTTAGAAGGTATTAGCACATGTTTTTTTTTCCTCCATAAAGCAAATGTTACTGGAGCTGATTCCACTTGTGTGTTGACGACTGTAATACCTGGAAGTAAAAGTGTTAGTGAGCTGGTCCTCTGTGTGTGCCGGAAGAGTTTACCGAAGTCAAGCCAATAAAAACAAACATCTCACTCACGCACAAATGAAGTGCGTTACGTTTTCGTTAGCATTGTTCAAATGGCTCGGGAACATGTCGACATGCTGCACTTTAACTTATTATATAGACTTAATGCATGAAAGAAGGAGAAGACGTATCAGCTTGTAAAGATTAACAAAGTTGCAAAACTGCTTTTAAAAATGTGATCTGATCAGTTTAAATGAACCCTACTTGAGGAACAATATATAACATAATGCAGCGCAGCGTGAGGTCAATTCCCAAGCCTAAATGGTCCAAGTAGATCATTATTTTCAAAAGTTATTACAAAATAACTATTTTTCATGATTATACAAGATCACATTTTGTAAAACATGATTTGGATTTTATAGCTAATTGGAAAAACAAAAATAATTAAGTTATAATTAGTAGTTTAAAAAAAACTCTGGCTCCCAAAAACTTGGTGCTGCCATTCATCAATTGCACCAAATAACTTACAGCAATTAACTTCACATATGAAAATAAATAAAAAGTAAAATGAATTTGTTCACACTCAAAAATAACGTTTTTTTCTTTAACCTGGAGTATTTTGAATCGATAGTTTAGAATTTGGTTTTGATGTACTGATTCTAATGAGCATAATGTGTAAAAGTGACACAGTTACTCAACTTTTGATTTACAACTTGCACTGTGCAACAATAGAGTCAAAAATATAATATTAGAGTATTTTCCGATAACCCTGCTGTAATAGGGGGAGGCATTCCCATCTGTTACTGTTTAGATACCTCCTGATGCACCAGGAAGTGCTCAGATTGGACCAATAAACCCAGACAGCTACATAACAACAACAGCAGGGTAACAAGGGAGCAGTGAGATTAAAAACCACACGATGCCGTCCACTAATCATGTTTTAGATCCACAATATGGCAATTAACATCTGGAGGAAATTAAATAGGGATTATGAATATGCAATTCAACATCAGGGAGCAGTTATTTGCATTACATGTGAGTCAATGCCTTAAACGTACAGTATTTGACTATTCTATTATATTCATTGGTTGTAAGTCATTAGTAATAGTAAGTAGATTAAACCTTTTCGATCTAATATTTGCTATGCTGCTCTACTCTACTGTTATTCTATTCGGTAGCTAGAGAAGTGGACCTACCCTGGGTTTGAAGGCGATCAGTTTAAGGATCATTTCCACAGTGAAGAGTCCAGTGAAGAGCATGTTGAGGATGTTCATGGCATCATTGAAATTTTTGGTCTGTCCATGATGCTGCAAAGACACATAAACAAATCATTATTGTCCAACAAAGGAAGGGGGCTTCATGGGAGTTCTCTAAAGCCGTAACTGTAATATTTACCCCATTTTAAGAGAGCGTACTTGCATTCTGTGAGCGTGTATGTGTGAGACTCACCTGCATGGCCAGACAGATGGTGTTGAGAAGGATGAGTGTGAACATCAGGTACTCAAAGTAGGTGGAGTTAACCACATACCACACCTTGTACTGGTAAGGGTTCTTGGGGATGTAGCGACGCAACGGACGTGCCTTCAAAGCATACTCCACACACTGACGCTGTGACACACACACAAACACATGAGCATGATCAAACACACATCTGCCTTTAACTTGTGTCTGGGAATGTAGCTCCCCAACTCCTCCTCACTCTGTACTCAGACCACCATGGAGGAAAAGCGTTTTCCAGCCCAGACTACTCTTCCATCCTCTCTGTGCATTTCCTTGTTCTTGCAGGGACACGGATCATCACAGAAAACACAGCTGCAGGGACTTCGCTTGGATCTTTCTTTAAGCTTTAGTCTCATCTTCTGTCTGAACTGCTGCAGCTCCCTCCTGACTGCACTCCTCAAGTAGTTCAGCCCCTAAAACTCTTGTTCAGCCTCTCCAGATTCTCCCATGTCTCACCCCCACTGCCTGGCCTCCATTCCCACTCCCTTGTGCCTCCTGAATGACAAAATGACTTTCCCACTTCAGTCAGAACAGCACTCCCTCTCCCTCTACTTTAACATGAAACCTTGTGCTTCATGTCTGTCTTACTGCTAAACAAAGGCATAAAAACTGCAGTTATACGCACACAACAGTGTGCACAAATCCAGTAATAGTTGATATAAAACAAACACTACCTGATTCTTGTCCAGCTCACAGTTCTTATATTCCTGCTCTCCTTGCTCCTGGAATGTGACGATGACGAAACCGACGAAGATGTTCATCATGAAGAAGGCGATGATGATGATGTAGATGATGAAGAAGATGGAGATGACCACGCGGTAGTTGTAGACGGGCCCGACGTCCTCAGCGTGAGAGTCTATGGCCCGGTACAGTAACCTGAGGGAGGGCAGGGACAGATTCATTGACGGAAAGGAAGGTGGAGATTTCAGGACAGAAAGAGGGGGAGAGGAAAGGCACTTAACCCTCAGTTAATCCAGTAAAAAGATTTAATTCGCAGAGAGTATAGGGTAGGATACCAGGACGAAAAAGCAAGCGCACAGTGTACATACAGTACGCAGATCAAAACAAATTGTGTTTGTATGTAGACACACACCCTGGCCAGCCCTCGAAGGTAGACACCGCAAACAGAGCCATCATGCCTTGCAGGACATCGTCAAAGTTAAAGTCACTGTTCTCCCACACTCTCTGGGCTCTTTGAGGCTTCCCCACATCACCATCCTTATACATAATGTAGGAACCCCTGTAAATACAAGTACACACACACATGTATGTATTCACGTCTCATCCAGTAGTTATGCTATAAGAGAGAGTTCAACGAGCTTGCTTGCAGGAGGGATCTCTTACCTGCAGCCTGCATGAGTTTGTTTAGAGGTGTCGGTACAAAAGAAGAACTTGCCCTGATGGAAAAACATAGAAATGTACAACTCAGTATTGATAAAAAAAACATGATTACGACACTATCACTGAAGACGTTTCCCTCCTTTCCTCTTACCTTAAAGAGCTGTACTCCGATGCACGCGAACATGAACTGGAGCAACGTGGTGACGATGACAATGTTGCCGATGGTCCGGATGGCCACGAAGACGCACTGCACTACATGCTGGAAAAACGCCCCAAAAACGATAGTGAGTATTAGGGTGTCGCGTTTTTTGTTAAAAAGAGAATATGTATGTATTATGTGCTCTAACCTTCAGTCCTTTGGCTCTGTTGATGGCCCTCAGTGGTCTGAGCACTCGCAGAACTCTCAGGATCTTCACCACATTAATTGCACTGGACCTGAAACACACATGGAATTAAACTACTGACCAGTCAAACACACATTTTACTATTCAGACACATTTGCAAGGTTGAGACAACTCACACACAATGAATAGCAGTTTGTTAACACAAACTGTAGCATGAGTTTAAAAAGAAAAACTGTAGAGATCGAGACAACACACAAAAGCTAAGTAAATTTAAATGATCAAGATACAAGTAAATTGAACAACTGAGGCAAAATCACATGACACTCAACAAAAAGTATAAAGCGACATTTAAACAAATAATAACTGAGAATAACCATGATTCTTTTTATGATAAGTAAAGTTAGGATTAAACTGGGCAAACTACCCTTACCACTATGCTGTATAATATAGACAGATGTTTAACAGGAGATCGGCAGACGTGCACATTAATCTCAAGAAGTCAACGTTTATTGGCTAAATTCAGGTGGTTAAATAATTGGATTACAATCTGGTTTGGTAAATAATTATTACTGAAGGAATGATCATATACTATACGTGTTGCACCTCCTCTGACAATGTTAAGAGTACTAATTATCTATCAAAATCAGGATATGGACCGTGTCACTAGGGGCCATTAATCATAATTTTTGTATAATTTGTCTACAATAGTACTAAAAACTACTCTAAAGGTGTTTATGTAATAAAATACACACAAATACATGTGCTTCATGGACAAACACATACAAGTACAACACAGGTAGACCAACACAAAAACACAGACAGGCAAACAGAGAGTCATTGTGCTGTAAGAGAGTGTCAGTTTAAGCCAAAGATCAAACAGCGTGTGACCTTTTAAAGAACAAGGTTCAAAGGAAAAGGTTTTAACATACTAACCAAAAGGAATCAAATGAATACCTTGACATTTTGAATTTTACAATAAATGTTTGGAAAAAGCTTGAATATTGGTCCTTTGGGAATCTGAACTAGGCCTCCCAAGTGTATTTTTACCGTGTGACGTTAACGGCTGTCAAACGTGATGCAATTCTAGCTTGCCATATTCTTTTACCTCTGATTTCAGTGTGCAAAGCTAATGAGCCAGTCATTCAGTTAACTGAAGAACAAATACAAAAACTTTTTCCTACGGTGTCACAAAGGCAGAGGGAAAAAAAGTGTATTCAAAATGTCAATGTATCCTTTTAAGGGAGTGACTTTTTTAGACGGTTAAAGGAGTGATTTAAAGGGAGTGACATTACTCTGTGTTGACTTTTAAACAGAAAGTAAGGAAAGACCCGTTGTGCAACATTTTACACAGGAAGGTAAAGTTTAAGGGCAGTTAAAGGTAGTTCATGTGGAGTGGGATTTCATCAGCAACATATCAGTCAAACCACTATCCTATAGTGATACAATCCAGACAAATGTGAAGTGAATTTCAAACTTTTTTTAAATGTAGCAAAAATACAAAAGTTGTGCTTCAGTTAACTGGGTTGAAGGGAAAGATGAACCTGTTACACACTATTTGATTCTAAATCCTTTCCATAAAAAGGAAAAAATGTACGTCCAGAGATAAGAGGTTAATAGTATCAAATCAGCCACACTGCCATAGTTCTATTATGTGAACCAATGTTAGCCCTATTTCATGCTGTCAACACACAATATCATGAGACTACACAGGATGACAGCTTAAACATCTGACCTTTTACTGAATGTTGTTATTTGTTTTGCAACTGCTGATTTGCATATTAAATGACTAACATCTTTATGAAGTTTTGCGTTACTTCAACGTGCACAGATACATGAATGGAAACATGGCAAGAGAGGTATACATTTAAAGTATATCCCCAGAGAGATATTAGGTAGTCACAGTACTGAAGGAAAATGTACAGTAAATACTGAGACTGGAGTAAAAAAAAAGAAATCTGTTTATAGACACCACTAAATGCAGCAACATCACAATTCATTTGACTGTAATGTTTTCAAGACGAATCCCACACACTTACTACTTTTAACAGGAAAAACCACTGAGCTTTAGCATTAAGCTGCCGTTTCTATTGCCCAGGAGAGTTCAGCTTATCCAGAAACATGACAACTGAGACATACAAATATGTCAAAGAGTAGATTACCAAACATATTAACATTCACTAGATGTGACGGGTGACTATAGCATTAGAGGACACAGGGGAACCACTCCCCCCCCAGAAAAAAAAAACAATCTCTGCATCAAAAGCAATTATGCTGACGCCTGTATAGAGATATTTTTGGTGCAAAAGCCTACCATGTGTTCGTAATAGCAAATCACCCATTTATTATCATTACAGTATAATCCCATTAAACCTTCGCCTGCTCTTAACATCAGAGATTACAACCTTATGTTTGTTTCCCTTGCTCCGAAGAAGGCTTCGAAAAAAACTCTCCAAGGCCATAGAAACACCAAATCAAAAGAGTGACAGCTTTACACAGTTAAGGTGAAGGTTTGTTAAGGGGGTTCTTAATGCGGACTAATATGGACTTACGTCGAGACGTCTAGTCTATTAAGCATTAGAGACAGAGAGTGTAGCATAGCATATTAAACATCAGAAATATCACAGCATTTCAAGGAGTTAACTGCTACGAGAAGTAGTGAACATATTTAATAAACATCACAAAGAGAAAAAAGGGGATCGGAGTAATGAAGTGTAAAATGGTTAGAGAATAGAGAGAAGTGTGAAGCATGGGGCAATTTACATTAACAAAATCGTTTTTCCTCACTTTACGACTTGGACTGGACTAGTGTCTCATGCACTCGTCATTATCTGGCAGCCTAGTCTGGTCCTTTAACGTGTAATAACACAAATGTATGTTTGATGATGTTGTAAGCTTCACTGGTGAAGTCGCTTGGAATTGCTTCCAAAAACTGTTGGTTGTATCAGTGCACACAATTTTGATTAAAATATGCCGAAGCAGCGAATGATTTAAATGGGACAACAGTATAAAACATGCATGAGCAAACATTAAATTGCACTCACTGTATTCCAGAGGAGATGAGAGACACACTGACAACCACCAGGTCCAAAATATTGAAATAGTTTCTACAGAATGAACCTTTATGGACGAAGGCCCCATAGGCTGTCATCTGTAGGGGTCAAAGTTCATGATTTAGAGTCAACTAAAGAGGCTAAATCACAGGTTAGTAGTGAACATGGGGAGCACATATGATGCATAGTGATACCGGCTGCCTTATCTTTAACACTGAGCAGGGATTTAATATTATCTGAGAGTAGGTGGTCATTGTTTTAACTTTTTTTAAAGGAGGGTTTACTGCCAAGGACACATACTTGACGTTATTTGAGTGACTATTTATTACCATCATACACGTGGAAGCTGTGTAAAAATATGTTTGGGACCTCATGAAAGTAATTCAAATGAATACTGTAGCACTTACAGATAATAAGGACCCCTTATCATACATCACAAACACTAAATACTACCTTAAGAATGATCTCTATGGTGAAGAGTCCAGTAAAGACATGGTCTGCATAGCCCAGGATCTAAAAAAGCAACAAAGGGAATCATTGTTTTTAGTTTAGAGATACCATTTCCATGATGACTAATGTACACTACACAATATCATTACAGGGATTAAAACAATGTTCAATGGCTTTCATTATGTCATCCTTTGTACTTGTTATAATACTAACCCGAAGACAAAATTGTGACCGAGGTTGTGCAACATGTTCCAAGGCTGAATGAATTCGGCAACCTTTAGAACTTAACTCAATGAAAAGCGACCCGGCATTCTTGCCAATTTTAGATTCGACCAGTAACAAAAGAACTGCGTAAAGGTCTACGCTTCCATGGAATCGTTTACATGGTTAACAACAAAGAGAGAAACAGGAGGAAGTGCAGTTTTCCGGGGGTTAAGGCTGAACTTATGGTCAGCTGTAGCATCGTCCTGGATGACTCCACAACACGCTGAAATAATAACGCTGAGGTTCAGGTCCAAGGATAATGAATTCCGATTGGACTAAAATAGACATAGAAAACAGAGCGGCATCTGAAAAACAGGATGTATAATTTCATTAAGGTTTCAGAGTAAGTTCCATTGAGGTAGACTAATATCCAGCCGCCTATTCCATAACCAAGGAAAATACAATAAAGCAGATCTTTATTAGCTCCGAGGGGGTCTTGCTCACTGAGAGAATGAAAATACACAAACACACATACAGCACACACAGAGCTCAGGCTTTACATTAGACTTGAGCTCACAAATTACCCCCATAAACACTAAACAACATTAATACATAAGCAATATGGTGATGCTCTGTACCTGCAGTGAGGACATTGTCTCCATGGATACAAATAGTAGATGTTTTGACATTTAACAGTTTGTCCTAAGGCAGAGTACACAGTCTCAGCTGCTGTATGCAAATCAATATATGCCACTACAATTTATACAGTCTTGGTTAAATGTGGAATAGTAAAAAATAAAACATTTCAACCATATTTCTTGGCTGCATGTGATAATGTTAAGTTGCCAGCCTGGCTCAATAAAAAAAAAAAAATAGAGTTCAATTGACAAGACAAAGCTTAACAGGCGTTTCACATCTTCTTAACATGAAGTTAATCGTGGTTACAGTACTCTGGAAGAAATCTCATTAAGTGTAACAGACCGGTCACAATAAGCTTTGGTTCCTCTATATGTTGCTGTCGGCTATAATCCCTTTAGTACAGAATGAATGTGTGGGCAACTAATGATGACTACGATGTTTGCCTCTGTCTGTGCCTTAATGTATAGTCGGCCTAATATGTGTTTATGCCGTATTTATACTTTAATACAGGTTTTTTTATAGTGTGTGTGTTACCTGGTTTCTGAAGGAGTCATTCTTGACCGGGTCCTCTGCTGCCAGACTGATGCTGCTGAGCAGGATGAAGAAGAGGATGAGGTTGGTGAAGATGTTGTGGTTGACGATCTTATGGCAAAGAACCCTGAATCTAACAAACAAAGTGAGAAAAACACATTTGAGTCACTTGTTACGACAATAACAGGACATTTTATAGGATCAGATAGAGAAGGGAACAAATAGGATGGAAAAATACAGGGAGAGACAGACAGATTAGATAAAAACAGAAGAAAGGGGGGAAGAAATGAAGGTTAGGCATAAGTGTCCTCTTACTTGTTGGTGTGACTGAAGACGAAGAAAGCGCGAGCCTCGGGCATGGGAATGGCCTTCTCCTTCAGCTGAATGTCGGAGAGCGGCCTCGGCCTCGGGCCCACTGGCATCTCTGGCTCTTCGTCGTCATCGTCTCCTGATGAGAGGGAGGAAAAAGTGAATAGTTAAAGTAAATAGGAGGAAATTAAATGCTGACAATAAGTGGAGCTTGGCTTAAAGTATATGTGCCTTAGCAGAAAGTCACACAAAGGAACATCTGCAACCTGTTGACACTGATATTAAGCAATGCATTAAAGGTTGCTGGACCTAAGATATCACCAGCCAGCCATGCCAGAAAGGAAGGTTCCAGAAGTGAAAATCCCATTTATATTCTGAATCGAGAGTATTATTATTAGCCGTAATGTCGTAAACATCCAAGCTGCCACGAACTAAGAGATTGTGATCCGATTCTGCATTCTCCTGTAAAAGCCACAAGTCTGTAGGACAGCAACCTTGTTTTAAAAAAAACATTTTAATCTGGATTTAATCTAATCATTCCTCCATAAACACATTACATCGCTTTGGTTTGTGGGTTACCTATGTAATCATTGGCAGGGTATGGGTTCTTCTCTTCACTCTCATCTCCACAGTAGTCATCCATGGTAATCTGCAGAGACACAGAGCATTGTATTTATTTACCAACTCATTCATTTATCTGACAACACACACACACTTGTCTTTCTTGAGGTGTGTGTGTGTGTGTGTGTGTGTGTGTGTGTACCTTAGTAGCAGTGTTTGTCTCTCCATCAGAGGTGATGGACTTCAGCTCTATCTTCTCCTTCTTCTTCTTCTTCTTCTCCTTCTTCTTCTCCTCCTCCAGAGGCGGCTTCTCGTTGGCATGACGTTTCTCTGGACTGGCCAACCTGGAGAACAAGGGAGGAAAAGAAGATCAGCATCTTTCCCCTTCTCTTAACCCGAGCCCCGTGTTAATCCGTGGATGTGTATCAAATCACATCTAAATTAACTAAATAAATAAACACTTAGATTTTCAATGATGGGGAGTATTTCAATCACAGTGCTGTTATAATCACAGTCAAACACAGAGTGCGCACTCAAGTGGTTGTTTTCCATCACACTTGTTTTTAGCAGATCAATACAGGCTGCAACCAAAAAGGAGACATTTAATGATTTGTGCCACTGAGGGGGACACTATCATCCTCCGCTGCTCTAAAATCTCACATTACCATTGCTGACAAATTACCTTTTGTACTGAATGAGGCGCTAAAATTACCCAATAAAATTGGTTTAGACAAAAAAGCAAAGCAGACAAATGTCAGCCTGTCTCTAAAACATAATAATATGTTCATATTCTAATTGTTAAGCATTTTTAGTACTTCGATTTCGAGGCTCCAGTATCCGCATCCGTAAATGTCTCTCGGCATAATTGCCTTGAGGTTGGGAGAACTCTCTCACTCCCTCTCTCTCATCCAACCATTTGTTTCTGATGTTTGTCAGACTTATCGTCAGCTAACTGTCGACCTGTCTTTCTTCCTCTTTCTCCTTTACCTGGCAAGTTTTTTCCTCTCCTTCTCCTCTTCCTCCTCTTTCTGGGCGGATGTCAGGCTCTCGGCGTCTGCCAGATTGTCGACAGCAATGGCCAAGAAGACATTCAGTAAGATATCTGTTCAGAGGGTTGAAGCTAAGGATGTTGCTGACCCACCAGATCATGTGTGTGGTTGGTGGATAATTAGTAATCTTTCTGCATCTGAAAGACACTGAACTGCTCGAGTAGAGATACTAAGTGAGGGCTTCATGAGTGATATCATGCAAAACAGACCCTTCCCTCCTGCTTCCACATCCTAAATAGGGGTAAGATTTAATTCAAATCACAACCAGACCCAATGTTATGTGGTTGATAGGATGCAATTTAACAGAATCAGAAAACAAGCTCCAGACTTTTGATTTTTTGATTCTTGTCATCACTCATCACCCCTCCACCTCTCTTCAGATCCACTTCATATAGGCTGTCATCTAGCTACTTTATGTTGGGCTCTGTTGAGGCAGGATACAGTTTCCGCAGATGAAGAGGATGATGAAGTAGATGCAGACCAGCATGCCGGGGAAAGACGGTCCACCGTACGCCATGATACCATCGTACATCACAGAGTTCCAGTCCTCTCCCGTTAGGATCTGTGGAGAAAGAAAGAAATTGAATTCAAATCTTGAGAAAATCAGTCATCATTTTATACACACAAGCTGAGAATAGAAGACAGAAACACAAGATGCAGACCAGAAACATTTGCAGTATCATTACCTGAAACACGGTGAGCAGAGACTGGGGAAAGTTGTCAAAGGTGCTGCGTCTGGTCTCGTCGAAGTTGAATTTCCCCCCAAACAGCTGCATGCCGAGCAGGGAGAAGATGATGATGAAGAGGAAGAGCAGGAGCAGCAGGGAAGCAATGGAGCGAACAGAGTTTAGAAGGGAGGCCACCAGGTTGGATAGGGAGTTCCAGTATCTGTGGGAGAGACATCCGGTTAACATGTGTGCATGCACACAAACAGAAGTACATACAGATGTAAAAGAAGATAACTAAACATTTATCCGTCATAAACACACTACATACTTGAATATGTTTGACATTTTATTTGTTTCCTTTCTTATGAGCATCCCGAGGACATTTGGCAAGACAATAGTTGCAAATGTTAATGTTGTGTGTGTGGAAGGGCAACGGGATACTCAATAATCGTCGAAATTCAAAACGTCTAAACTAACCTGGTTATTTTGAAGATTCTCAGCAAGCGTACGCAGCGCAACACAGAGATGCCGAGAGGAGACATGACCTTGGTTTCCACCAGAATGGTCTCAAGAATTCCTCCACATACTACGAAGCTGTCGAAGCGATTGAAGAGCGAAACAAAGTACGCCTGTGGAGAGTTTGGAGAGATTTAAGGGAGCAAATACTTGAGACGGGAGTTTACATTTCTCTTGACAAACAATTCAATATTTTCCCATGCAACTCATTTTGAGGAAAAATAACCGACCTGCAGACCCAGACTGTACATCTTCAACAGCATCTCACCAGTGAAGAGTGCTAGCAACACCTTGTTGGCTATGTCTGAGGAGGAGGAAAGACAGGAGAGTAAGAAAAGAGGAAAGAGGAAAGGGGTTGGAAAGAGGAAACAAGGGAAGAATAAAACGTGTGCTCACGTACCTTGTACATCTGTTAACCACTGAGGCTGCTGGTGATGTTCAGAGGCGATGGTCAGAGTGTTGAGGAAAACCAGGAAGATGACCAGCCAATAGAAAACCTGCGATTTGACCCCTGCCCGGCACTTCCTCCTACACAGCCTGTTCCACCTCCGAGAGTATCGACTGAGGAGGAAGAAGCAGAGATTGAGAGATGGGGAGGTGAGTAGGGAAGGGAGAGAGGAGAGGTGGGGAAAAAGGAGGGACGTGGGAAAGAGAGCAGAGAAGCAGACGAGGGAGGAAAAAAAAGAGGAGAGGCCCATGAGAGAAGAGAGAAGGGAAAAAACGAAAGAATGATCAAAAGAAACAAACAGGGGATGAGAGAGAAGAAAAAGAAAGAGTCAATTAGTCTGTCTACAAAGTAGTGATGACATCATCCCTTGGCCGGTGGTAGTCTCTTGTTGAGCTGTGGAGCAGTTAGTCATCCTCAAAGACATTTCACACCAAGAAAAAGCCAGTAGGATGAGCTTTGTTGCAGAATGAGAGACGCACCATTTGAGGCAATAAAAGGAACGCTTATTCTTATGAAATGATTGAAGGGACAAATTGAAATTGAAATATGTCACACCGTGATTCACACTTGAAGGGAAATGCCTGCTTCAAATGAAGAAGTGGTTCATTTTAGCATAAAAAAAAAAAAGAAAAATGATTTTGTTTTAGAAAATTCAAGATGTTGTTCGGTGTTGTTATGTACACAAGGTCTTTTGCACTTTTCCTGCCCACTACTGTTAAAAAATAGTTTCTGGTAATTGCCAGCTTCACACCTCTCACTCACTCACCTACACTGATGTACCGGTGATCGTACAACTGAAATACGTCCAGACACGTGGCAAACAGTAGCGTGTAATTACAAGAAAATCTATCAGGAAATCTATCAGACCAATCAGCTTTTATTCATAACAACTAAATGAATCCAGACCATAACTGCCCTAATCAATCATCTGTCTCTTTCTGTTGTGGGTGTCTATTGATTATTCACCCTTAAGCCCTTCCTCCACAACAACAGACACGGTTGCAAGGAGATGTCACAGCTCACCAGGAAGTGTTATTCTTCCTTGTCTATACAAAATGTATGTTTCACCAGAGTGTGTATAAGCTATTTAGAGTCATGTATGGCACACAGCGGCTTCTCCACGATGCACACACTGAATGTTACACGAGACACAACTCACAACACAAGCGGACATGCATTCTTACAGAAAAAGACATTTCTAATGTCTATGATTGTTATTTGAGGAAACGTTTTGTGTAGCCTTACAAAACAACCCGTGTTACAGTCATTTTTTTCATAATAACATGTACAACAACTGTCCCTGATAGGAATAAATAGACCTCATTCATATTTTAGAAAATGACCCAATTTCCTTTAATGAATATTTTCAAAATTTTGGAAAAGACACTAATTTTGCTTTCATGCAGAGAGTTAGATGAGAAGATTAAATCCACTCTTATATCTGCCTGTTATATATGAAGCTACAGCCAGCACCCAGTTAGCTTAGCTTAGAGTGGAAAAAAGGTGGACAAAGCCAACCTGGCTCTGTCCAAAGGTAAACAAAATTGTTAAGGTGCCCAGCCAAGAAATAGCCTTGCCAATAACCTCCCTTGAACCATAACTTGACATTTTTAAGCGTTTTATTTGTACGGATTAAACAAAAGGAGATAAATCATGTTAATTAGTGAACTTTAGCAGTGCTGGTAGGCTGGTCTTGTTAACTTAGCCAGGCTAGCTGTTTACCCCCGCTTCCAGTAAGCTAAGCTAACTGGCTGTAGATTGGTATTTACCATACAGACATGAGAGTAGTATTTATCTTCTCGTCTAACTCTTTGCAAGAAAGAAACTATTTTCTAAAAGTAGAACTATTCCTTTACAGAGCAAAGCTCTCTCTATCTCTCTCTCTCTGTCAGTTTGTCTGTGTTTCTTTTGCACACACACACACACACACACACTCACACACACACACACACACACACACACACACACATCCAGCGACCACAGCAGTAGAGACATTAGAGCAGGTGAATTGAAAGACTATGATAACATGTACTAACCTGAACTTGGATTTGGAGATCCTATTTCTGGAACACAGAAAACAGAATGGATTATACACACACACACACATAACACACACAGACAGGTAGACAACATGAAAGGGGTGATTTGAAAGTGATATTTGCCTGAGCAAATATGTTGCTTCAACAACTTAGTGTGGGTCCAGAATGTCCTGCCTTTTTCTAAATGCAGTTACTTTACATCACCAAACAAATTTCAAACAATAGTTCAGAGGTGGAGGGGAACTACACGAATTAAGCATCAAAGCTGACAGTCTTGTATTTTTTCTGCAGAACTGAATGAACATCAGTAATTCACCCACTTTCCTTTTGAGCAAATCACCCCAAGAACGTATACATACATACAGTGGAATCCAGTCAAAAGAAAAAAATATGCTACAAGTTTGGATTTCCTCCAATCAGTCCTGGTGTGAAAAAACACAATGCATAAATAGAAAAATGTCTGTTGATTGTTCACCACTGTAACAGCAAAAGGCACATACATAAAGTACTGAGGACAAGAGATTATGGAAGACATTGTCTCTGAGAGGAGAGAAGAGAAGAGAAGAGAAGAGAAGAGGAGAGGAGAGGAGAGAACAGAAGAGAAGAAGAGAAGAGGAGAAGAGAGAAGAGAACAGGACAGAAATTCCCACGGTGGAAATTTGACACATATCTGCTGTAATGTTTGAGTAACCTGATCTGACCACGGGGCAACATTATAGGCTGACGCTCTTCTCTCAGCCAAAGGTTGTTCAATGAATCAAAAGAGAACTCAGTACTATCACATACTGTAATGAGCTTTAAGGGACTTGTTGTGAGCAACTGTGCACCGATGTTGTTTGTAAAAGCAGATGACCCGCTGACTGACTGAAGCAATGAAATGACTCACTGACTGACTCCACGATAGAATAGAATGACTGACTGGATGGATATGGAGGCTGACAGCACACGCGTCTCTTCTCTCTATGTGTCCGTCTCGATTATGGAGATCAGCGGGCGTCGAAGTAGCTCCTACCCCGAGGTCTGTCTCCATAGCAATGTGGAGAAGATCTGACACACACTGAACGTCTCCAGATTTATCTCCTAATAGTGTGAGCACATGCCCCGAGACAGACTTGTTGCAGTCTCACAGAGGAAGGATGAGGGCTCGTATTTCTTGGCAAGGTTCACTATTCGTTCGGTTTAGGACGGTCTGTGAAAGCAACTTATTTAAGTCAGACTATTGCAGGTGCAAACTCTGAAGCTCTATTGTGGTTCATAAAAAAGGAGATCGATGCTGAGTGTAGACCTACATTATCATTATTAATGCATATTTTTGGGGTTTGGAATGTTGATTGGACAAAAAAAAACATTTGAAGATGTCGACTAAGCTTCTGGGAAATTATAATTTTTCACTGTCATTTTATAGACAAAACGATTTACAACATGGCGCAACATATGCTTTAAATTAATGATACAAATTACTAATTTGCTGGTTTCACTATAGCTTCTATTTGTCTTTTTTATGTTTGGAGTTGTCTTGGTCTGATGGGACAAATAAACACAAACAACATAACAAAGACAAAAGTAACAGATGGACAGCAAGAGTACAGATGAACAACAGTGTGCCGTCGAAGTGTACCCACTGGCTCTACTGTGTCTCTGGTCAACAGCATTCTTGATTTCACACAGCACAGTAACTGTCTCTATTCAGTTCTACTCTATTCTGCTGCGTGCACCGCGATGCACCGTTCTGTATGTAGGTGTGTTTGCTCGTGTGTGCTGAAGTGGGCCCGCTGGGGTCACGGCTCCTGCGCGGCCTTCTGTCTAAAGAAAGAAAGCGATGCACTTGTTTGAATAATGTAAAAAATGAAAGGAGAGGGGGGGGGGAGCAGGTGCAAGTGAGTCAGCTGTTCGTGAGCTCCCACAGGGGAGGAGGAAAGCACTTTACTAACAAACACACAAAGGGGAGAGAGAAAGAGCAGAAACAGACGGAGAGAAGAAAAGGAGAATATACATGGATTAGATGAGACACGAGAGATCTTCTGCTTCTCTACGTTTTGTGTAGTCCAAACGAAGGTCAAACTTTCTTTGTACCACATGAATCAACAGACACTTTGACATCTTCTCTCATTTCTTCTTCTGTTAATGAATGTACATAATGCCTTCAGTAAAAGAACGTCTCAGAGATATTCTGTAACGAGTACTTTAAAAGAAAAGTTAAAATTCTGTGACGCTTTGATGTATGAAACCTTTTCATAATCCAACTGGAAAAACTTAAAAATACACAGTGTACTGTACAAAATATACTTTTTTTGTATGACATATTCATATTTTAATATTAAAAATGTGCCCAAAAGCAAGATTAAAAACATTCAAATTTTCAGCAATGAAAAAAAAAGACCTAGCAACTAGAACCAACGTCAGACTGCAATGGTGTTGTTAAGTTGTAGTGTACTAGAAAAAAGAATAAGGCACGGCGGTTTAGTGTGGGATTAATTCCTCTTAGCCCGACCTCCGTTTCATCAAGGTCACAGATTTTTTTGGGGGGAAAGGAGTAATTTCATTAGCTGTGAAAAAAAAAAAAGACCTCCGGAAACAGCAACTCGGTTTAGCTGCCTCCTCAGATCCACCATGGTTATGGTTCTCCCTGTCAAGTTTTTCTGTTTAGAGTATGATGACAACCCACCGTCGCTCTGCTCTCCTCTAACCAGTGAGCTTGACGAGACAGAGGTCTGGCTTTGTGAGATCACTGAAAGGCAGAGTCACTTGTACCATGGCAAACGTTCAAGCGCTAACACAGGAAAGATGCTTGATAGAGTTCATCCTTGAGATTGACAGAAGGTGACCGAGTGAGAGAGAGATAGCTGAGCGATAGAAGGATGAGAAGAGGTGTGTATGAGAGAGGGTGAGGTACTTACGCTAGCCGGGTACAGCAGGTCTCCCCCTCCACGTCTCCCCCGGGGGCGTTGTCTGTGTTGACTGATTCATTCTCACTCGCTGGCATGCTCACTGAGGGATGGAAAGGAGCCCGAGAAAAAGAGGTGACAGATATAGAACGAAAGACAGAAAAAAAGAGAGAGAGAGAGAGACAACGCTGAATTAACAGGCCAGGTCAAAAGGGCTGTACAATCAATCTCGCGCCGTTTTTTTACTGTAATGCTGTAAACCTTGAGCTGAAATCATTGTGGACCCCGAAATGTCCGTCAACTTTACAAATGAATTAGTACACGCACACACACACACACACACACACACACACACTTAACAGCTACAAAGTACATCAAGACTTTTACAGGTAGATACTGAGGGCTGCACTCGATTCTGGGTCAAACACTGTTAATCAACTCATCTGATTTCTATAAGACTATAAAGCAATCTTTTATAAATCTATACAGTATATCTGCACTGATTGCCTAAACTAATTACACGCTTAGTTTCCATACCAGCAATATTTACCAGTTAGGCGTGCTGGGACACAAGCCCTGCAACAGCTATTAGGAAGGACTTTCACTTCTAAGCTGAAGGCTTGCTTAATTCCGGGTGAACTAAATCTGAACAAAACCCTTTTGTGATTTCATAGCTCAAGGAGATTGAAAGAAAAAACATGGTGGAGATTTTGGTCTTTGGTCTGCAAACCTTGTGGGGGATGTTTGAGCTTAATTGTAGCCAAGTTTTGAAAAAAAAAAAAAAAGAACTGTAATGCATTTTATTCAGGCTTCTAAACTTTAACCACGCTGTGAGAGCTTTGGCGGGATTTATGTCAACGCAAACATCTGAAAATTAGTTAATTAACTTAATCTTTTTTTGCAGTTGTATAAACAGGTAGGAAGCTCACAGAGCCCAATCTGTCTTTGTTTATAAAGCCACAAGGAGACTGCAAATGTGTCGCTCTGTCCTTATTTTAATTGTAGTGGTGGGTAAAGACGGAAGGATGCTGGGAAGGTGGAGGCAGAGACGGCTGTTGAGGAAGGACAGGAGTAACATAAATGGGCTGTTAAGGATGGAAAAGTGTTAAAGAGGAAAAAGAGGGAGAATGTTGAGTAGGGGAGGGGGTGACGGGAGCATCGAGGGAGGTATGGATGGAAGGAGAGGAACAAAAATGGGATGAATGTGGGGATGGCTGTGATACATTGCTTTTTATTGCTTCTGTCAGTCTTTGGCTGCCTGCGGGAATGAGCTGCAGCTCTTTCACTGTCACCTCAAACACTTATTGTAACACCCTCTGGGTACCTGAGTCAGACACTGATATGAATCTCAATGCATCTGGTATTACAGTAAAATATCTAGCGTTAAATAAAGCAAAACCTACTCTTGCAGAACGACTCAGCATGAAACCAAGGGACATGATGGGCACTTAAGATGAGAGGGCATTTTAAAAAAAACGGAAAATCACAATCTTGATTTTAGTACCTCAAAAATACAGAGCTCATCTTGTAACTGTGCTTTATTATCTCAGCTCCAGTATTATAAATCGCTTTCCAATAACAATTTTCCGCCCTGACATTGGCCCTCCTGCATTCCTAATGAGAATATTAATGGTGCTCCATGCAGATTTTCTAATAAGATTAAGTTCCACATAAAAAAAGAATAATATGACCATGAATAAAGATGAGTGAATTACGCAGTGCCAAACAAATAGGCAATAAAGTTAAGCAAAGAAAAGAAAGCTGGCGGCAGTCATCAAGACAATCATCATACTCAAGTCCTGAGTGTCCTAATAAAAACAAGGAAAAAAGGTTTTGACAATGACAATAAAGCACAGCTATCTTGTTGTGGGCCTACCAGGGCAGATTAACAAAGGATGTTTTTTTCTTATCATTGATTAAATACATATGAGTAAATAACATTTGCAGCATTCATAGGTTTAAGAACCTGTACATGTATATTTATATCTGTTTTTTGTTGTTGCTGTGTTTTATTTAAAGAGCGGGTTTGTAAGCACTTAGCTCACATAATACATAAAAGTAAGCTACAGTGAGTGAACAGTGTGCCTTGCCACATGCTTGGTGATGGATGAAGTCTGTGCTGCAGAGATCAGGATGGTCTCCCTGAACATTAAGGCCTCTGCTGCGAACACGCTGTATGTTCCTCAACCTCGACACATAACACCTGCTGCTACGCTACTTAGTTAAAAGCACTCGGGGCCCTCCAGTCTCTCCCGAGGCTAAAGCCTTTTCAAATATAAAACCAGCCTAGTGCCTTCTCCTCAATGGAGCTCTGAACTAGTTTAAAAACCTATTGTTAGAGTAAACCCAAAAGACTTGAGACACGGACAAGTGAAGGGAGGAACGAGCAGCATGAGAGGGAGAGACATGGAAGGAGGGAGGGAATGAGGAATACAGGCAAGGGTCACACTTTTTCCAACTCAACCGAGGGATTCATTCATTCTTAGCAATGTTGGCATGTGTGAATGAGTTAAAATATTAAATAACAGCACTGAAAATAACCAAACACCATAATGTACTGAACTGAATGATGACAAAAGTAGTCAGTACAATAGTCTTGGGAAAAAACGTGTGTGTGTGTGTGTGTGCTCATGTCAACATACTGAAAAAAGGCATAAGTCAGATATTAATTGTCCATGCCATCATCTCCATTGGCCATTTACAGATATTTCAAGCATTCCAAATGTTCCAGTACCAAACTGCCCTAAAGTGACTGTGAATTCACAGTTCAAATCCTAGACAAAGTATTCAGAACATGAGGTTTTCATGCAGTTGAAATGTAATACAATACTGTAGTATTTTGAATTTTAGTCTCTCTTTTTTCCTCACTAGGCAATTGTCATTAGGGATTATAAATAACCCTTAAGCGGCTTGTTAGCATGTAAGCACTCAACACTGATGTCAGTAAAAAGAAGTCTCTTACATGTCTACTCAACAATATGACAAGTGCTGGGAGAAACTTATAAAAAAGGCTAAAATTCAATTTTTCCCCCGCTATTTCTCTGTTATCTTTTATTTTCAGAGCTAGCGTGGCTAGCAACAGTGCAGGGGGATTTTTAGGGAAAGGAATCTGAAACAACAAAGAGAGGACTGTGACATCACAAATATTATGAATGTTTTTAGTTGTCATGCGCAGTGTGTAAACCGCACTTTAATTGTTTTCTGTGATGACATTGTCCTCTTGGGGATTTTTTCAGAAAAGTCAGGCAGATGCGAACGGTTTCCTTTCCTACGAACCTATTAAGGAAAAAGTGTGGCTGCATCTCAATACAGAAAGGATGTTTTCTCCTCCTGTGCTTATCCACTGGTTCTCGTCTTTTAGATTACACACAGTTTAAACAGCGTGAAACACGGTCAAGGTGACACACAATATTGTCTCCAGATAATATTAATGTGTATATGGCCTGGAGATTACTGTTCAGTGGAAGGTGTACAGAAGGGTCTTTAAAGTGTTGAGAGGCAGCCACTGGAAATAAGGTGCTTCCTACAAAGCAGGAGGAGAGGAGAGGGGGAGAGGACAGGGAGAGAGGAGAGGAGGTGCAGTTCACTTGCATGTCTAGAAATCACGTTTCCAGTAAATCTTTAACTAGTGTTGGACCATGCAGACAGACGCACACGCCTTACGAAGGAAAGCCGCATTTTTCTTCACGGCTCCACGCAGGGACTGAAAACGCTGGCTCTTACCTGGGGATAGAGAGCACGGCTCAGCAACACAGACAGGCACACACGCATGGATACACACAAATAGGCACTCACAGACAGCACTAACGTGGAAATGCACACAAACGGTGTATTCGAACACAAATAATCACGTGCGCTCGTTCCGGCGCTGCTGACATACACAACCTGTTGCAAAGAAACATGATTGCTTCGGCAAAAATGACATTCTCTCTTTACAGTCACACTTCAGTGCATGACTCGAGCTATTACTGTAATTCGAGATGTATTACCAGCATAACTGGCAAGAAGACATGACTGCCTGTTTCTCTCTTGTACCATTTAGACTTTCAGTCTCCGTTTCATTGCCAGACTTTTCCATCGTGTTTGAACTAAAACCTTCTCATTCTCTTCGGTAAAAAGAAGGTACAGAGCAGGATTAATTCATTGGGAGGATTCATAGTCTAGAGAGTGGAGGAAGTGAACATTCAATAGCAGGTTGTTGGGTTGTTTTCACTGAGCACTACACATAACAATACATTCGTCCATCCTTTTGTCCGTCCGCTTGGCAAACACAAAAGCTATTGTTTTCAGTCCACTTCACCCCTTCCTCTCACACTGTTTGCGTCGTAGCCTGTACAGCCGTCAGCGTGCTCCTCCATATACTGGAGGTCTATTGTTGGGTTCTGCACATTTTTCCAGTGATTCGCATACGATTGTCAAAGCGAGAGTACTAGCGATATTCTTTTGAGTGAGTCAATTAAGACAGTAGCAGAAATAAAACCGCACGTGAAGCCTGAAATCTAGCAAACATCTAGTACACCAGCATATATGCAAAGACACAGTCATACAGATAATCATACAGTTATCCATATCAATTAACCAATCACTGATCACTTCAAGCATCGTATAAGCTTTACTTATGTAAGTGGTGTTCATTGAAATATGTTTTATAACTTAGTGAAGACTTCACATCCTTCAGGCTCTCTTGGGGAGTTGTGAGGTGTTCTCTGATCACCCCCCCACACACACACAAAAAAACAATCAATATGGTGAAAGACATCTACTCTCACGAATAACAACCACACACATACTATAAATATCTGTATACCTCTATGAACACACTATTCCCATCATACAACAATGTGATTCCCCTGTAGCTGTTCATGTAAAGATGGGATTATAGATAGACAAGGGTGTGTGAGGTCTCTGTATGTGTGTGTGGTCATTAGTATGACTTGTTCAAGATGTTCTCTGTCCCAGATACCCTCCCTGTCACACACACACCTTCTCTCTATATATTTCTATCCCTCTTTTATCCCTCTGCATCTATTTTCCCTTCCATCTGTCTCTCTCCTATCCTTTCTTTTATTCTCTAAGTGTCCTGTCCATTCTTAGGACATGCGTGTGTGTGCGCGTGTGTGTGTGTGTGTGTGCTGTCTATGCAAAATGTCTGGTGCAGCAGGGACAAACTGCCCTCATTCATCTTCCCAGAGGAGAATCCATCCATCGAGGAGAGAGGGCGACAGAACAATATGGCTGAGTTGAGTTGGCCAGTGACATGATTTTCCACCTACACAAACGAGGGGGATGATTGATCTCTCTGACGGAGAACTTCTGTTCATACATCAATCATTTTGGCCGAAGTTATATCATTTAATAAAAGTAATGGACTGAATCTTGCACCTGACTGATATCCACAGCTTGACTCTTTATAGGTAAATAGTTTTTTTCTGAAGCAAATCTGTTTTATTGTATATGTTTTAAGTATAGACTTATATTGGACTCGACTGGATCAAGCGCTCACACAGTCTGTCTTGTCTAACTCGGGCTTGTCTGAACATTGCACATCATTTAAGTGATACAGTACGAAATCAAGAAACAAAGCATCTAAATATTGTGATGTGACATTTCACAAAATTGGCCCAATTGGGGGGCCACATTCTGTATTTGTTTGTTTGTTAACATATGCAAGCCACTGCTGCTGTGTTTTTGCCACTGATTGGCCCGGGGCAGTGATAACAGGTGATAACAAGGAGATTCGTTTTAGATTAGCCACAGGAGTACCGTGCCTTATTTTCATGTAAATAGGGTTGTGGTAATTCCTCGAGCTTCACTGACAGATTAGATCATCATTTATTATTTCTTTCCTCTTCCCTTGGCAGTCATTAGTGTTTCTCAGTATGAGCCACAGCTCTGCATCTTTAGTCCTCACCATTCGTTCATCATCAATGTGAGGAAGCTGAGCTCCAAGCTCTGACACAATAGTTCACAGTACATACTGTACATACTAAACAGTAAATAATAGTGCGTTGAAGTATTTTGTCAAATTCCTGCCTCTCTTCCTCACCATCCCTATCTGGAGTTCTATCTATCTTCTCTAAGACTAAACCTCCAGGTCCAAAGAGGCCAGAGTTATACCTTTCCTCCCCAGGAAATGTAGCTCAGTCCTGAGGATTTGTGGCTGCCTCTCTCTGGAGGTGTTGTGGAGAGAGACAAGGTGTTCATTTGTGTGTATACATTTCTGTCAGAGCACAAGCACACACAGTCCTAAGGGTGCATACCTACAGTGTGTGTATGTGAGTGTGTTTGCATAAGTGTGTGTGTGTGTTTGTTGTGTGTATGTGAGTGTGTGCCCAGAGGCTATTAGCTGCAGTCTGACACATTCCACTAATATCTAAACAGGTTTTAAACCTCAGGAGGGTTCTCAGCCAAAGCAAGCAGAGAATATTAACATCTTCTCAGTCTGTCAGTCACTCTGACTATGAACCACTACCATGTGATGGAGACCAAACCTTAGATTTAACGCAAACATTCTGTATGTAAACAGGATCAATCCAGCCGTGCTGTCTCACACAAAGTCTTACTCAACCCAAAACTGCCAATACCACCAAACAACAATTCATAAATCACACACGCGCACACACACACTATACTCACGGTTTCTAGGTTTATCATCGTCCATGCCCTCCTCTTCATTCTCTGGGTCAATGTCTTCAGCCTGAGTGATCCAGTCTAAATAGCCCTGTATTCACACACACACAGAAAATACTGATTGGTCAGCAGTATTGAAAGCAGTCTTCTTATCAAACAAAACTGCAGTCATCTGACATAAATTGGGAATTTTATGATTGAAAGGTTTCAGCATTGTTTACGTTTCTTGATTTTCCTGTATCAAACACCTTTAGATGATGTAAGAACATACAGTAGGTGCAACTACAACATCTTACTTATTTAAAATCGTATACTTATCTCTTTGATTTCCTCTTTTGTAAAACATGTAACTTCAGTCTCTCTGCTCTGCTTTCTATGCTTGCTGCCTTAAACTGGAGGTGTTTTTGACTTCTCTTTGACATTCATCTTGAATGTCAATCACCTTTTTTGAAAGCCTGGCAGTAATATACAGTGAATCTTAAGTGGTGAAGAATTCTACAGCCTCTTTCAGAAGGGGCCTCAGGAACAGAGAACAGCCTACCTTGAGGTCCTCCTCCAGTTGCTGTTTTTCTCTGAGTTTCTGGAAGTCACCACGTGCCTTGGCCTTCTCTCTCTCCTTGGAAAACTCTCTGGGAAGAAGGGAGCAGGATGGAGGGATGGAAGGTAGACCATGGGGAGGAGGGGGAGGGGGGGGGGGGGGGGGAGAGAGAAACCAGAAACAGGGAGGGGGAAAAAGAATCTGAAAATCTAAACTGAAGAGCTGCAAAACTAATCATGTGACAATACAACATAGAACATTGTACAGTGCTTCAGGACAGGAAGGAGGGAAAACCTGCTAAAGAGAGAAAAAGAAAGCAAATGTAAAGTGAAGAGAGAGAAGCTCTGCCAAGGAGAAAAAGGTGTTAGTATGCAAATACAGATGAAAGCACATTGGAGCCGGATTCACATCTCAATCTATCAAATGTGGCCAAAGATACATACAGTTCTGTTTATGTGTTGGTTAACATGGTAACTTCAATAAACCATGATGCACAATAAGCCGTCATATCAACACACAATGTGAAATGAGCTGCAATGGCAATTATTGGATTTTATAAAATCTCCAATACACTGTTTAACCCTGACTATTGTTTATTAGATTTACTAATCTGCAATTGGTTCTACATCAATTGGAATTGATGTAGCTGTATAATAATCATTAAGCCTGATGCACTGGTGGGAAGGTGAATTGAGACACCCCTACTGACTGACCACGTCACAACTTTAATGGTTAAGTGTTAGCTGCTGGTGAACTTTCAGCTCGAGGACCTGTACATACACTCTTACCGTAATAATAATTACATTATATGGTGTTTTGGCCTATAATATATAGACCGAAGGTGATAGTAGTCCAGATTATTTTGTAATTCATGCGGATTAGCCATCTAATTGTTGCTGTCCCAGGGGGAAACAGCGCCTCAGGTGCTCCCGAGCCTGCTGGGAGTTGTAGTTTCTACTGTCCCACCGCCGGCTCTCCTGCCAGCTGCAATGTGCTTGGTACAACCCCCGAGGGAGGGAGGGTGAGGGCATCCCTCACCAGCTGTACCACCTCAGCTTGCTCTGGTCAAATTGGAGGAGAAGTGGCTCTGCACCGAGGTCGCCCTGCATCACTGAGCTCCTCACCTTTTGTCTGCCATCTCACTCTTTCTGTCGCCACCCAGACGCTTTGGCCACAGAATGAATGAAGATATGCAGTTAAAGAGAGAGCTTTATTTTGTGCCTGAGCTATCTTCTCATATACTTTGCAATGTGTGTAAATGTAGAACACTCTATATATAGTCACTTATTATAGAGCGCTTTTTATTTTTTACTTTTTCAAGTTTCTCAGCATTTTGGAGGTGATATGGACAAAGGGAACTGAAGCAAAAATGATTTAAGACAACTAAAATCAATGTTAGGAGAGTGTGAAATATGGAAACATTATGATGAAACCCGGTGAAATTACTTCCAGGTGTCAGCACAAAAGAAAGAATTAAGGGACAGTTGATTTAACGCTGCACTTGGGGAAGGTTAAAGTCAGGTTGGAGCCAAATAATTCATTAGGATGAGAGCTGAGAGGAGCTGGGAGGCTTTGGGACCATTTGCAGTCTATTGACAAGTAAACTTTGCTGGAGCCTCCCTGCGGTGGATATTTTGAATAAGGATATCAGTGGTCAGTCGAGTCCCCTGCTCTTGGCAACTTCATACTTTCAAATAACAGCGTCCAGTTAATTGAGACTTTTTGCAGCAATGGAAGTTTCAGACTCATCCGAAGGTTCATCTGATATTCTCATTCAGATATTATGCAACTATTACATCGATTTGAATCCAACTCCCAGGAGAGCAAGACCTGGATCCATAAGAAAACTCTATAGATCGCCGTGTGCCAATTTCATTGATTTTCACAGTCCGTCTATAGTCTGGGACAGAATACAAGAGAGAGACTGTTCATGGATTGTTTGTGTGTGTGTGTGTGAAATTTAGAGGAATGATGGTAAAGATCACCCCTACAGACAGCTGACAAACACTCACACAAGACAGATCAATGAGCGTTAGGACAAACTGCTACTGCCTCGCTTGTCAGAACATTAGCAGGAGACCCAATCCTTATTGATCTGTGTTCGTGTCTGCCAGTGTGTAATATGTGTGTGTGACTGCAAAACTCAGAGGAATCACTCTCAATTTTCCCATTCTCATCATCTCATTTTTCTGTCCTAAATTACCATTGGATTCTCCTTTTTCCACTTCACTTTCTCTCTAGCCCCATTCTTTTTATTTACAGATTACATTCAAGTCCAGACAAACATGGTCACACCCGATGTTTCTGTCTCAACGCCCGTCGCTCTCCTTCTTCCTGCTTAGCCATTAGTTAGTGTGTCAATCTGAGACCCACACACTCCATGGAGGAAGCAGTTGGTAAAAGGTCAGGCCGTGTACTGTGCTGACAGCATCATTACTCAGAATTCAAACAAAGAGTCAGACAGCCAAACCCCCCCAAGCTGTTTGGACCAGATAGACCTCTATTATTTTCCCCACAATGCTGCTGTCACATCACTGTGGATTTCAAGAGTCAGATTCGGGTCAGTCAGTCAGGGGTGAGACACTTCACTCCCCTAAACCTGTTCCATACCCAAGATCCTCATGACCTGAGGCCTGTGAAGAAACCATCAAAACAAGTTGAGGATAAACCGACATGAAAGTTTTCACGCATTAGTTGTGATTTCTTATACAACAAATATTCAAAATTGTAATTAACTGCAAAGGTAAATTTTTAATGGATGTTGCCAATAATAATGATAAGCATTAAAAGGATAGTTTGGATTTGTTTGAAGTGGGGTTGGATGAATTGCTTATCTAGTCTATATTGTGTACAGTAGAAGGCAGTCGGCACGCCCCCGCTTTGGTGAATCCAAATGAATCCTTTTAAATAAAATACCAACATTTTGAAGAGAGCATCAGTTTTTAAAGTAGGTAAAGTAAGGTGACTAAAATATCTTTTGCTGCTACCCCGCCCGGTCCACAGCAGTAAAATTGCTTTGCTCCCGTGCTGGTACTCCATCTGTTACTCTAAACTAGGGGCGAACCGACCGCCACCTACTGTGTGTACCACACTGACTGTGGATAAGCACCTCATACAACCGCACTTCAAAAATATATAACTTTAAGACAAGGCCAAGCCTAACTTTTGAATATGTTCCTAAAAACTGAAAGCCTACTGCAAGCTGCAGTAGGCTGTCAATATCTTTACAGTGCTCACAAGCACAGCTGTCATTTGGTAATATTAGGCTGTGTTTACTGGGAGCCTGAGTTTATACGGCTGGCTTACGGTTCTCCTTTCTTTAAATTGAGATGACAGTGTTTTGTGCCATCCCAGCAGCACAGAGACCTAAGCACTTTATGATAGTAAGAGTGCTATTCTATGGAGGTAACACTGTAGCGTTGTGAAGAGTGTGACTTCTTTGATATAACCACTTTGAGAGGGAATATATAAAAGGTCTCTATGGCAAACATCAATTATGTCCTGTTGAAGTGTCCTAGAGCCAGATGCTGAAGTACGATTTCACTACAGTCATCAATAATGATAACTACTTACAATGTATGTGCAGTTAAATTAGTTCAGATCTGTGTATCCACAATTTGATTGTCACCGCCAGGTTGCAATTTTCCTCGTGCCACATGTGCTGGTATTACTCCTCAAACGGTACCTCTACCAGTAATATTTAAACACATCCCTGTCCATGATTTGTACACACTTGCTAAACTTAAACACCATCTACTATCAGAAGCAGAAAGTAGACAAAAACAAACAGCAAAGCTCTCTAAGAATGAAGGCATAAAGGAGAAAGAGAGAAGTTAGTCTCAAGTGACCTTTAACCTTGCCCTTACCCGCTCAATACCCCCAGAACCAAGTTTAGCACAAAGAAGGATCCGATGATGATTAAGGTGACAAAATACACCCAGGGCCACTTGTACCCTACTGCATCATTCACCTAGGTGGAGAGATGGAGGCATGGAGGAGTGGGACCAAGGAGAGGAGACAGGAAGGATGGAGGGAAGGAAGGTGGGAGGTGGATGGAAAGTAAAGATCGGAGGAAGGGAAAGGAAGGCAAGTGGAGGACATCGGTTGAGTGGACAGGTAGGAAGGAGCAGTAAGGAATGTTAGGAGAGAAGGGAGGAGGGGAAGAGGGAAGGGGTTAGATCCTTAGTGAAAGTTCTCAACAGATGGAGTCGTTTGCTTCTGCAAGATCCCTGCTGAGATTACGGTGCATTCATGGTATTAGACAGAGTCACTTATCGGGCCACATGGCAACGTATCTAACCGAATGTGTGTAACTTGGAATTGAAGGTTGCAAGTTTAAAAACAGTTTGATTGACTTCAGTTCCACTCAAAGCAGCTCGTTTCACTGTGGAGAGAAGACATTTTAGTTAGCATCTTTAACAGACCGTGCAGCAAGACTCCCACGGATTGGACATCAGTACTGTCCTCAAAACAATGATACTCCCTCTCATTAATAATAAAAAGCCAGAAGAGTTAAGTCTTAGTTTGATGGTTGTAGGTGTAACTTATTATTACTATTATTGTCATTGTAGTGATCATACATTATTTTAAAACACTGATGATCTATGATTTTTCTCTGGCAAGTGTAATGCTTTTATGAACACTTACAAAAAATGATATTCTCTATTCAGTGCAGCCTTCCATCCTATAATTTCCATCTTTAATGCCATGTTTCTTTCAGACTTCACTCTGTCCTTAAAATCACCTTTTTTGCCTCTTGTGTTTTCCCTGTTGTGCAAGTTTTTTTTTTTAGGTTCCACCTCCACGGCTGACCTGAGGGGTGAATTATTAATACCCCAGTGTGTCCCTACAGGCCGGGTGGTGCTTGTACTAAAACAGCGTGACTTGGCAGAGCGGGGTAAAGCACCACCTAGATTGCCTGCTGGAGCAGCATTTATTGAAAAAAAACAAACAAACAAACACACAGAAATCACACGCGCCACGTGCCTCTACACAAATATGCACACACTGCACATACACAAACAATGTACGCAGATGCATGCTAATCTGCACGTGAGACAAACACGTATGTAAACCTAGAAACATGTATACACACAAGATTAAATACAGTTGGGTATTTGGAGGAGGAAGAGCGTCTCTTAAAACTGAACCTGGACTGAACAAAAACTCCTAACTTGACTATGAGAAAGACGGACAAACATGAGAAAGCTGCTTGTTTGTGTAATTAAACAAAAGAAGAGAGTCCAGCCAGTCTGGATGACTTGTGTATGCGTGTGTCCACCTGTCCATCACAGACAGGTTGTGACGGCATGTGGTCCCTTGAGGTTCAACTGACATGAACATAACGGATGCTTCTTCAGCGTGTATGCATGTGTGCGTTCGTGTGTTTCTCTCAGGCTTGTGAAAAAGGATTGATTCAGTGGAACAGAAAGGAGAGAGAGCGGGAGACTTCTGCTCAGTTCAGTGACCGCCAAGTTCATGTCTCCTCATCTGTAGACGACGAAGACGTATAGCTCTACTTTTACTGGTGGACTAAGGCTGCTGGTATCACCCTCCTCTTATTTATTCTGTGTACCACTATACTCCCTAAAAATCAACCATAAGTTGCACTCTAGATGTCTGGTCCAGGGAGTCTTGTTGCATGGTCATTTATTACATCTAAAAACACTATGTACAGTACAGCCACATCACAAACAACACACAGACAAACATCTGTACACACATGACAACAGCACAACCTCTTACCCGCTCAACACCCCCAGAACGAGATTGAGAACGAAAAAGGAGCCGAAGATGACGAGAGAGACAAAATAGACCCATGGCAGCTCATAGCCCATAGCATCCTGCATCTGAGAGAGACAAGAGACATAGGAGAGAAGGAGACGGAGAGAAGAGGGGGATTAACAGGGAGAGGGTTGGTGGGGAGGACGATAGAGGACAGATAAAGATGGGATGGGAGGAAGAGAGGAATGAGGACAATGGTGAAGGAAGAAGAAAAGTGGGGGAAAAGGTTTGATAAGATTGACATCGAGAGAATAAAGGGGGGCAGTGGAGGTCAAGGACAGAAAGAGTGTTATAGAGGGAAGAGATGACAGGCCGGAAACAGAAAAGAGCAGTGCATATTAAACAAGAGCAGTAGAAAGACCTGGCCAAGCAAGAGTGGCAGTATCGTATGATTAAGTGTGTGTGTAAAGCCTTTCGTCTGCTTGTTGGAGAACGGGTACTTGATGAACACATGAAACAACACTTAACTGCTTTTGTAGCTCGATGACATTTCTTAGCTCTTTTTCAAAGTCTGTGTTGTTTACAAAGTTACACGATCCCTTAAAGGGGCAGTGTGTACTGTGTGTAAGTATTGCAACCAACTGAGGTTATTATACACAAAAGAAAACAATTAATAATATTACATTCTATTTCTGCCAATAGATAAGACGATAAGAAAAAAGTTAGGAGCAAATGTTTCCCAGCTCCTTCAATTAAAGAGCTGTCACTTTAACATGGAGACATGTTGGACACCAAGGGAGATAAGCAGAGGAGAGAGACAGAAAGTTCATTGCTACAAACAGCAGCAGATGTTGGATGTCATTAATCTATTTTCCCCCGAAAATGTGAGAAAATTAAATCTATGTAAATTTCTGTCCCAAACTTAATGAAAGGCTTGGTGTTGTCTAAATGTTTTCCATAATAATTGATACTCCAAACAAATAGGTCCCATTCATTATAAAGACAGCTGGATATACAAGCGCTCTCACAACAAGTGAATTGTACAATTTAACAGTTGTGATGTTTTGTGTGTGTGTGTGTGTGTGTGTGTGTGAGTGTGTGTGTGCAGAAGGTTGCAGCAGACAGCATGGTTGCAGGAGGGGTGAAGAGCTAGTAAGCTATCTGCTCCATGTGTATACATACACTGAGAGACAAACACTCGCACACACATGCACACGCATATCTGCTTGTATGTATAGTAAAATCCCAAACTCACACGCACAAAATTGGTCAATTCTGACAGTTACATGTCACAAAACTGAGAATAGGTCAGCTAAAAACAATCAACCTTTCAGCAAACTTCTTTACCAGGCCAACTGTTAATTCCATTACTTTTGTGATCCTTAAGACGTTTAGAGGAGATCACAGGACAACTCTGCTTAATGTTTGAGAAATCACACAGGTACATGTTAATGTAATTTAAGGTGGGGCTTCATGACTTCATCGGGGGAAATCAACAATATGATCTGTGTGTAAAGCCAAACCTCCGTCCAGAGGTCTAAATCAAAAGCTTTCTCAGGAAGGCACACGTGGGAGTTTGATCGAACCTTCCCTAACATTGATTAACAGCACGGACTAATCAATTGGTATATTTAGCAGGGCTGCTGGCCATTTACTCAGGAAGGGATAGTTATTGTGTGTTCATAAGCCTTGTTGGCTGTACGTGTGAGTGTGTGTGTCTCTGTGTGTGCGTTTTCACTTGACACTAGGATCAAGCATCAGGATTCTACACACGTTCCAAATGAATCAGTGCCTTCAATTACACAGTATATTGTCTGCATCAATTCAGCTCGAGATATGAGCTAACACGCACACACACACACACACACACACACACACACACACACACAATCTGTT